GCTAATAATGGCACATCTTATTAGTGATCATGTGCTGAAGGTTAATCCACCATTTACGCTTTTCCAAGAGTGGATAAAAGACTTCCAGTGTTTTAAGTCTGCTATGAAAACGACTAAAGCCATTCACTGTAAAGTCTGTGGGATGGGGTTTGCAGGTAACAGCTTTTGCCACTGAATCTACACATTTTAAGCATCAGAGATACTGTATAATCCTTCATTTTATTCTCACGATGCTGTTAGCCGTGCAAGCGGCAGCTGTAACATTTAACACAGCTCATGAAAAGACCGTTATAGTGTTAAAGATGACATGCAAATAATAAGTTATGTATCAATATAAACGTGGGGTGAAGCGATGGATCGCGATGCCGGCACACCATTGTGAAGTTTGTCGGCCATCGGCGATGGACGATGGCATCGTCTATCGGCACAACCCTAAACCATTACATAAAACAATAGATGAAACATAAAAAATTTGGTAAGAAAAATGATTAACAATGCAATTAGGAAACATTGCAAATGAAGTTGATTGATTTCCAAATGATGAAGAACAATTTAACGTCGTACCTCAATGAAGAAAAAGCGTATTTGATGTATAAGATGTTAAATTGCATCTTCCTCTGCTTGTAAACCCATAAACAAACATTAGCGATCAGTTTATATGATCGGCCAGATTAGTGAGAAAGGATTGACTCATTAAATGTGATCGGCTGATACCGATCTCTCTAGCTGATTGATCCAAGCATCCCTAGAATACATCTTTATTCAGAAAACATTTATTTTATAAAATGTAACAAGATTTTGCTGTACAGGAGACATAGAGGAGATTGATAGACAATGGTCAACAGCCAATCAGGATAGAAAAAAAAAAATGCTGTAAAAAAAAAAAGCATGTCAAAGTGTGCAAAAAAAAATCTGTGAAACTGCGAGGCCTTCGAAAGGTAAACTGTGTTACAGCGAGGGACCACTGTACTGACAAGCATTTGAAGTACGAAAAAAGATATAAAATAAAAATAAATAAAGAAATCAGTTCCATGCAAAGGAATCAAACCAACGATCTGGCAACAAACCTGCTAGCAGAAACACTAATTATTATTATTATTTTATTGTGTGTGCGTGTGTAGATGTGATATATGACCATCACAATTACTCACCATCAATTATCACATGTGACACAGCTGTACCATCAACTGTCACTCAATCAGAGCAAGCACCCAAGAACAAACTACCAAATCAAATCTGGCAACATTGTTGTTTTAAAGACCCAGACATGGTCATGAATATTTAATCCTGAAATGTGTCAGAATGTCCCACTTCCCCCAAATCCAACTATGCCAATTCCCTTCACCACTTTTCTCTGACTCAAGTTTCTTTAGACATCTCCTGCGGAGCACTGTTTCTTTTCTTTTACAAAGCTCGCTGAATTCCAGCCCACATCTGGAACACATCTTCTGAGGCAGCGCTTCACCCCACACTCTAATTAAGGCCATGTATGCCAAACTGTAAATAACCCAAGAAATCATACCCCTCGGCTCAAGGCCTGAAGAGCGGTGCCGATTGAGATGATTCGAAATAACTTACAAGAATATATGTGCTACTCTCATCACGCAAAGCCTATCTTCTCCTGAAAAACCAAACTAAACAAAGCCACAAGCAGGCCAAGCTCTACATGTGTCCATTAAGTCCTTTACCCGCACAATAAAAAAAGCATCCAGCTGGGTCTTCACAGCTTGACCAATGAACACGGCCCATTCAGCTGCTCTTTTGCTCTATCTGTGACCTGTTAACTTTGTATCCCCCTGTTTTCCAGCCTTTTTAAAACTCGGTGTGTGGCATTTCTGATGGAAGGCATCCAAATGGAGTATCTCAGCAGTTTAATGAGACGATAATAATGAAATAATTGTACCCTGGGTTTTTACGATGCTTTTCTTTCCTTGCAGACACACGACAGGACTATTAACGTGGCTTATCATCAAAAGGTACTGTACAGGACAACAGTGTCTCTTAACACATGCTAATTAACTGTTAAATGTTCTGCAATTTAACAACTTACATGACCATTACAAAAACAGGGAAAGATAATGAGGAGTCTCGTGATTTTACAATAGATGATGTGATGTTTAATTTTGTGATGATTATTTTAGATTTTAAAATCATGTCTTCACTAGTTTATTTTGTTTGTTATTACAATCGATGGGCGGCATGGTGGCGCAGTTGGTAGCAATGTTGCCTCAAAGCAAAAAGGTCGCCCCGGCTAGGTCGGTTGGCATTTTTGTGTGGAGTTTGCATGTTCTCCCCATGTTCGCGTGGGTTTCCCCCACAGGTCCAAAGACATCCGCTATAGATGAATTGTGTAAGTTAAATTGTTCATACATGTGTATGTCCTGGTCCTCCAGGTTGGGGGTTGAGCATTAGGCTAACAACCCACCTTGTAAAAATTCTATGTTACGAAACACCAACATGGTGGGGCTAAATATCAACAAGGGTGTAAATTTGGCATGGATGAAGAGGACGTGTCTACAGCAATATTTATCAATTACTGAAATATCCCTATTAATAATTTAATCTACTTCAAAATAAAATAATGCTCCATCAACCCTTAGTAACCTACTCAGGGTTAAAGTCAAGTTTGCAATGAGTTCACTACAATACTTTAACCAACGCTTTACAATGAATCGAAATACAATAATCAGGATTAAACAGTTAAATTATGTCACACACCTCTCTAAATTTCTCTACATTCATACCTCCTCAAAGTCAGATTACAGTACAATCATGTACATTAACATTTGCAGTATGGAACATGATTCATTATTTGGTATTTGTATTATTAGGTGTTTATTTAAGTTTTTAAAAGCGCAAAAACAATTTGCAGAATGCATGCACTCAAGGGATGTATGTCCCCAAAAATGTCAAGAGCAAATCTATGCCCTTGAATTTCAACTTTGATAAATAAAGGCCCTGGGAGTAAGTAGCATATTATTACAATCAAATGTTTCAATTAATACAAGACCATGAGTATAACGTAAAAACAGAATTACAAAACGTAAACATTTTTAATATATTAAAATTATTTTTAATATATTTAACAATTATAATATATTTAATAATATATTTAACAATTCCGTATATCTGAACATCTAGAGAAGACTGATCATCATGAGACTTTACTATGTTGTGCAATAATCAACATATACACTACAAAGTGTCAGATCTATGTATTAGGGAGAAGAACCATATGGTAAAGTTAGTTTTATATTCAAACATTCAGACTTTCTCTTTAATAATATAATTTCAGAAAAGTATTTTTTTTTTTGCATATTCTAAATGGTGAAATCATATTAGCAGCCAATGACTTTCAAAGTACAACATTGTTTAGGCAAATAAATAGTGCTAATGTTGTTTTCATGTCATACTTGCATGTGATTTTAGACCGAATTTACAAAGTACCATGGTAAACAATAGTGAGCGAGTCACAAGTTGTCACTAAACGAATGTGTGAATATAAAACCAATTTTACCTCAATAAACATCAGGTGGCACAAGCCATTTGTCCTGGTGTTTTCAGTATGAAGTATGAGGAATATCTTTTCAGTCTACAGGAATAGAGAAGTCCTATTTGTTTATCATAGTTAGTAAAAATCCAATTTATTAACAAAGATTTTCACATATCTGGATAACTGTCTATTAAACACTGATATTTATTTACATACATAACGAAATTCATATACATCCATACTTTTTCTAAAGAAAATAATAAATTGTGGACTAATTTAGTGGTTTTCCAAACGTGACTGAAAACAACAACACAAACTGACGTCTTAAACGACACTAGATGTTATATGTAACAGTTAGAAGGTATTTAAACCAAAATAATAATTAGTCGTTCGTTAAACATAGCATATTAGAGTAACTAGGATATCTTATTTTACATCAGTCATTGCAAAAAAAACTATTAACAAAAGCTATTTTAAACTAACAACTCGCTGTTTATAAAGCACCAAACAAGTTTACTCAATATTCGTTGGACCTAAGTAAGCGGAAAGTGATGGAGAGCTTTCGCTTCCCAAACTTCCCAAACAGCCGCTTAAGTCCAGCGCTGTAACGTTAGCTCAAAAACGACACAAACCCTCAAAGGACGTTTACCCATATAAATCACATAAACATGTACTTACAAAGCCAAGGAAATCCTAGAGATATCTGGCCATCCTTAAGCGAGCGAAACATCAGACACCTTTTTTTTTTACTAATCACATTCTCCTCCTGTGTGTTGTGTGAGAGTACAGGATATGAGGCTCAACATCGCCCTCTATCTGAAGAACTACAAACCGTTTCAAATAGTGTTTGAGTGGTTTTAATCAATGTAAAAATGTGAGGTTAATTTAACCCCCACGAGACATGATGACAAAAAACAAACACATGAATTGAGCTAAATAAATTTATTTAACCAGATATGCATTATTGTCTGCAAAGACAATTGTCTGACTTTACCAAAGGTGCAGAAAGAAAATTTAAGGACAGATATTATCACTAGATAGATTCATATTCCTTGTTTTTCTTCAGTAACCATTTTTTTCTTTTTAAAATATATATTTTTAAAGAGATACACGAATTATACAAATCAAATACAAAAATAAAGAAAAACGAGAAAAAAGAGGTATTTTACAACACCTTTTGTAACCTTTTTGTCACACTTTTGTGTGTGTGTGTGTGTGTGTGTGTGTGTGTGTGTATGTGCGCGTGTGTGTGCGTGTGTGTGTGTGTGTGTGTGTGTGTGTGTTTGTGTGCATTGTGGAATAGTAGGTGTATAGGTGAAAGATTATAAACAAAGGAACAAAAAACACCTATACATTTCAACAAAAAGCAGTATCCATAATATAATATTAAAAATTCAATTAAGTTCAATTCAGCTTTATTTGTGTAGCGCTTTTACAATGTAGATTGTGTCAAAGCAGCTTCACATAAATGGTCATAGTAACTGGATCAGGGTAGTTAAGTTTTTAGTGTTTGAGTTCAGTTCAGTTTAGCTCATTCAAGTGTGGTTTGAAGTCATTATTGAGAGTCCAAACACTGAAGAGCAAGAAAGAGCAAGAAAAAAAAAAAAAAAACAAGAATCATGAGTCAAAACAATCAGTGTTGGAAAATATGGAATATGATTTATAATGATGTTAATGAAGGTATATATAGTGGTGATTATAACAAGTAACCGTCTTTTACAGTTTTGAACCACTGGGCTCGGGCAACAACATCATTGGCATAATCACGGCCTGTGGTGCCCTCATCCACGTCCTCATATGACTTCACTTTATTCACACCAGCATTGTAGGCTGCTATTCCACCTGAAAGAGACATAGTCAAGTTGAGTAATGCCTTATTGTTTGCATTACCAGTAAATGCTAAATTTAGAGAACAACGTACAACATCAGAAATTTCAAAGCTGCAATGGCATACTTATTAAAGTTATCATATTAGATGTAGTCCTGAAACAATGTTTTTTTTTTATTGGTCACATATATCCAAATGCCAAAAACTTTTTTTTTTTAAATTCAAAACAATGTATTGCTCAAGGTAGACCAGTATGTGGTGCTGTAACGGTGCCACAGAGATATACTATAAGCAGAAAAGAAAACATGGAGAGAAGAAACCTTGGAGAGACATGACCAGTGGTGGAAAGAGTACTGAAAACGCATACTTAGGTAAAAGTACCATTACTTGCCTAAAAATGTAGTGTGAGTAGAGTAAAAGTATCTGTAGTAAATATTACTCAAAGTAGGAGTAAAAAGTAGCTAAAAGTTGAGTATTATGCGGTCAAAGTGAGTATTATGCTGTTAAAAGTTGATGCATTTACATGTAATTTGTGTATGTGTGTGTGTAAACGTAACATTCTGTAGTGCATTTAGTTATTGCCCAGCAGGCACACAATGTCATAAGACGCTAATGTTAGGTTAGATTTAGGTTGTGATGTCATGTGACCAAAATTTAATGTCTAATCAGCGTCTAAGGAGAACATTATTTTGATGTACAATAATGAAATCAAATGACGTTGATATTTGGTTGATTTTAGGTTGTTAGAAAGTGACCAAAATCCAATGTCGAGCCAACATCTTAAACTAACATCCAATCGACATCAAATACTGACATTTATTCATCAGTTATGGCAACCAAAATTCAACGTCTGATAGATGTCATGGTGGTAACGTCGACACAACGTCAAGCTGTAACATCATTAGCTGTAGATATTCGGTTGGTTTTAGGTTGGACGTTGGGCAGTAACATCGGGCTAACTTTGAGTTCTGATGTAAACCCGATTTTCAAATCCAAACAAAATGCAGTGTCTCCATGACCTTAGGGTACAATTTCAATCTGACAACATGTTGACGTCTTGTGCCTGCTGGGTGTTTAAGGCCATTTCGGTCATAATACAGTAAATATCCATCATCTTCTCATCAGTGACATGCATCTAAAACAGTGCCCATACTTGGTCCTGGAGGGCTGGTGTCCTGCAAAGTTTAGTTCTAATCCCAATTAGACACACCTGGGTTAGCTAATCAATCTCCTACTAGGCTTTCTAGAAACATCCGTGCAGGTGTGTTGAGGCAAGTTGGAGCAAAAATCTGCAGGACATCGGCCCTCCAGGACTGTGGCTGTTTCTCAATATGTGTTCTTTAGCGGTCTTGCGCTAAGGGTGTTTGTTTGATGAAATTGGTAATAAAATCCGTTTTATTTATATTGTGCATAGTATATTGATAATGTTTTTATGCAAAGTATATATTTTTAAAAGGGGGGAAAACAATAAATCCTTGTATGATTGCTGTAATGTTTAAATCATTTACCATTTAAATGATAAGGTCATGACCATCAAAAAAAAAGTAGTGAGAGTAAAAGTACAATGTACTCAAGTGAGAGTAAAAGTACACATTTTAAAAACTACTTGATAAATTACAATTCCTGAGAAAAAGTAATTAATTACAGTAATTTGAGTATTTGTAATTAGTTACTTTACACCACTGGACATGACGTGGTGTCATTATCATTTTACTAAATATATGGAATGGTGGTTGTACACATGAAAACAGGGCTGTCATTTTAAGCAAAGACCTGATTTAATAATAATAATAATAATAATAATAATAATAATAATAATAATAATAAAAAAAATTAGCAGTTTCATGCTTCCAAAATTCTACTTTTTAAAATTTTCATTTACAGTTCAGTGAGGTAAACTAGAATCCCCTAAAGCTGCAAAATGAATCAATGCAACTCAATGTAATGATTAATTATAAATGTTATTTTATATTTTCCCCCAAAACAAAGCATAATCTCACAGACATGTCTTAATTTTATTTTATTTCTCTGTTGAAACAAAACAAAACAAAATAATCTAGGCAATAAAAGATGCCTTAAAGTTTACACATAATAATAATAATAATAATAATAATAATAATAATAATAATAATAATAATTTCAAAACATTGCCACCCATTTAAACCAGCACGTTTTGGGACATTTTGGGACCCAACACTCCTAAAATGCACCCTCCATAATTTTATTAAAAATTTTTTTGATGTTTTTTTCTATCACATAAAACATATTTTATATGTTTTATCTTAATGCAATCTCTACTTTGTAAATTATTTGATTTCTCAAAATTAATTTACAACTATATAAATGTGTGTATATATGCCCAACCTTGTTCCTGGAGATCTACCTTCCTGCAGATTTCAGCTGCAACCTTTATCAAACACATCTAATTTTAATTAATTACAAAGTGCCTTTTCAAGTTGGTTTAGTTGGGTTTAATTAGGGTTGGAGCTAAATTCTGCAGGAATAGGGTTAAGCAACCCTAGATTACAATGATAAGATGAAGTCATTCAAAGTAAGTTCTACACTTAATAATTTTTGACTGTTGTAAGAAATTTGAGACATTGCTGTCTTTTCATTTTGAACACTGTTTTCCACAAAATAAAGGTTTTTTTTTGTTTGTTCACTAGAGCCCACAGCCACTAAAATGAAAATTCCTTAAAATATGAACATTATTTCTGTAAATAAAGATCTGTTTATAAACTTTTCCCCACTTCATTTATATTTTTATGTGCTATTTAAGGGCATTTACAGTATATGTCAGAGTAAACATTGCCTACCTTTAACACATTGCTCAAGGGACCATCTAGGAAACTTTTCTTTAATTTTCCTAATGAAGTCAATGAGTATCTCCGTAGCCTGTGTGAGATGCTGTTCACTGTCCCATGCACCTACTGGAGTGTGATAGCGCTTGTCAACCTGAAAAAACAATGTCAAGAAGAAAAAAAAGAAATATAAAAATTCAGAAGTATTTAATATTCATTACTTATTTGCAAGATTTCTTTGCTATTGTATTTGTTTACCAAAAATAAATTAAAACTCTGTGTTTGAGTCAGAAAATAAAGGTTTGAATTTTTCTGTGTTAAATAATGTCACTAGTGCATCTGCCAACTCAGAAAATATAAAAACAGGATAACAAACAGTAACAACAATGGAGCACCTTGCCATTAGTTTTTGATCCCCTAATGATGTAAGAAGATCTTTATTATATATCATTATTAATAATTATATATCACCCCTTTAATCTGCATGTTCAGTTCAGTGCCGTTACTGAAGAATGGGTCAATATCATCGCCTTTAACAAGTTTGCCATCCATAGAAAATTTTATTCCACAAAAGGATTGTAAGATTGTTTAAATGACTTTTACACTATGGAAAAAAAAATTCTTTGAAATAATTTACACTAAAAGGTTTTTGGGAACCAGAATTGTTTGTTCTATGGCACTATCATAAGATTTCTATTTTGGTAACTTTATTTTTAAGAGTGTAAAATCAACCTTACATCATTTCTCATGAGCAAATAATTTACCATTTTTCTTAAAACCAACCTGCATGAGGCCAAAACCATTGCCGTGGTCGCCCCATCCTTTCAACAAAGTGTGTCCGGCTCTGGACTCTCTGGATATGATGGCAGCAATCAGAGCTGGGTCCACGTCCTTTTCTTTGGCAACTTTGAAGATTTTACACTTGTATTTCTCCATCCGGACGAAATCAGCTGCAGCCAGTTTTTTAGAGGCTTCAACCCCTGTAAAAAAAACAAACAGCTGTATAAAGTATAATGTAGTGCAGATTATTAATGTTTGATGATAAGATAGTAAGGTAACACGTGAAGTACAACGAGGCAAAAAGAATATCAAATACTGTACATAAAATTAAGATGATAAAAATAAATACAAAACACTGCAGACAAATATAATAATAATAATAATAATAATAATAATAATAATAATAATAATAATAATAATAATAATAACAATGGGCGAAGCAGTGGCGTAGTAAGTAGTGCTGTTGCCTCACAGCAAGAAGGTCGCTGGGTCGCTGGTTCGAGCCTCGGCTCAGTTGGCGTTTCTGTGTGGAGTTTGGATGTTCTCCCTGTGTTCGCGTGGGTTTCCTCCAGTTGCTTCCGTTTCCACCACAGTCCAAAGACATGCGGTACAGGTGAATTGGGTAGGCTAAATTGTCCGTATTGTATGAGTGTGTGTGTGAATGAGTGTGTGTGGATGTTTCCCAGAGATGGGTTGCGGCTGAAAGGGCATCCGCTGCATAAAAACGTGCTGGATAAGTTGGTGGTTTATTGCGCTGTGGCGACCCCGGATAAATAAAAGGATTAAGCCAACAAGAAAATGAATGAATAAATGAATGATAATAATAATAATAATAATAAGACAAAGTTAAAAGCAAGAGTAAGAATCCTGCAAGTATTTATTTATTTGTTTTCAATAGATGTCTAATAGACGTCTAAACATAGTCATCTTGGCTAAAACAAGGTTAAATTTGGGCTGTCAGTAAAAATTTAATAGACGTCTAATAACAGACCAAAACTAGACTAGTCATCAGATAAACAGAAATGAATGACTACACGTATGAAGTCTGTCTAATCTGTCTATTTGACGACTAGTCTAGTTTTGGGCTATTCTTAGATGTCTATTAGATTTTCACTGACCGCCCAAGTTTCGCCTTGTTTTAGCCAAGCTGTCTATGTTTAAATGTCTATTAGACGTCTTAAACACATAACTGTTTGCTGGGAAGATGTAACTGTAACTTTTTAAAAAAAAATTATTATTTAAAGAAGACACATCTCACAGATAGGGGAAGTTTATTTTATAGACCGGCCACTACAAAAGCACGGTCACCACTCAGCTTCAGTCTTGTTCTGGTGTATGGCAGAATAATGTTGTCTGAGGATCATAAACATCTGGCTGCCTTATTCATAGTTGATCTGACAAATAAGCAGAATGAACCTGCTTATGAACCTCAGGTAATAATCTGGCAGCGGCATTTTGAATCATTTGAAGTCATGATATTGAAGACTGGGCTAGACCAAATATATAAGAAGTTACAGTAGTCCAAGATTGATAAAACAAAAACATGTAAAACTCTTTTAAGATCTTTAGAAGAAAGAAAAGATTTAACATTTGAATGTAGTTTAAGATAAGAAAAACAAGACTTTATTAAAACAAGAGTTTATATGTTAGTCAAATTTAAAAGCCGAATCAAAAAGAACTCCCAAAATGTTTACTGTTCACTGGCTTTATATAAGAGTTTAAAGCTTTATATTAGTTTAGTTTTTTTATGGCGGGCCAAAAACAATAACTTCTGTTTTTCCTCTCTTTTAAGTGCAAAACTTTTGTGACATCAAAAATTTCACAACCCCTAAGCATGTGAGAAGCTTTTGTAGAACATTTTTTGTGTCATTTATTCTGTGTGTGTGTTTTTAATGCAAATCGATTTGGATGTCATCTGCATTAAAATTAAAAGACACCCAGAGGAAGCATATATCAAGAAAACAATATAGGAGCCAGAATAGAACCTTGAGAAACACCAGAGGCAAGAAGAGCTACAGAAGAGACAGCATGACCAATATCAACAGAAAAAGTACTGCCGCTGTAAGATACAATCTGAACCAGCTCAAGGCATTTCCTTTAATGCCCACCCAAAACCAAAAAATGATCAACTGTATCAAATGCTGCACTCAAATCTAAAAGCACTACAATTACTGAGTTCCCAGAATCAACAAATTGCAAAATATAATTTAAAGCACTTAAACGAGCAAACTCTGAACTATAAACTTTCCTGAATCCAAATTTTCCATAATTTTGTTTGTTGTTGAGAGTAACACAGCACTTTCTAAAAAAATGCTTGCAATAAAAGTTTGAAATTGGCTCAAAATGTGATAAAACTGTTATATGAAGATTACTTTTTTTAAGAAAAAAAAAGGTTTCACCATAGCATGCTTATAAAAAGCATGAACAACCCCAGAAACAAGGCTCCGGTAATGAAGTGCTCATACCCTTTACGGTTAATTTGTCTTGACTGGCAGTCACCGGTGATGCACCCTTGGTGTCTATATCCATGATGTCAATGCCAGATTCTAGAAAATATATGGTAAGAATCTCGTGAAGGCTGAAGTCAGTAAATACCTGAATTAAAAATGGCTATCATATTTAATAAAACATTATTGTTCATCTTACCTGTGTTACCCATGATGACTTGAAGCTGTTGTGTGCAAAAAGTTCTTGTTGTCACTAGACTGAGTGCAAATAGTTTTCTGACCTGTTTATCTTTCTCTTGCGATTCCAGTGGCTGGTCAGTTTGTCAACAATCTGATAAAAACACATGGCTTCCTGTCTGGTCTCTCAGTTTTAGGTCTGTTTTTTGTTTATTGTGCAGCTTCCTGTTTCTATTTGTTTCTTTCCTCAGCTCCTAATTGTGTTGATGCAATCAAGAATGATTCCAAGAGTCCTGATAAAAAAGAATCTCTTGTGTTAGGAGAGGGCGGCATGGTGCCTCAGTGGTTAGCACTGTCGCCTCACAGCAAGAAGCTTGCTGGTTTGAGTCTCAGCTGGGCCAGTTGGCATTTTTGTGTGGAGTTTGCATGTTTACATGTTTCCCCCACATTCCAAAGACATGCAGTAGACGTGAATTGGGGAAACAAAATTGGCCATAGTGTGTGAATGTGTGAGTGTATGCATGTTTCCTAGTATTGGGTTGCGGCTGGAAGGGCATCAGAAAACATATACCTGAATAGTTGGCGGTTCATTCTACTGTGGTTGCCCCTGATAAATAAGGAACTAAGTCAAGGGAATATAAATGAATATTAGGAGATTTTCGCATTTTAAAAAGAGATACGTTTTTAAATAGGTAAGGATTGATCAAATCACTTTTGGGGTCTTAATTGCAATATGCAGTATATTTTTAATTGCTGCTCAATACCACTCAATGCTGTCCAATGCTGTCGCAACGTTCATATCAAAGCCTGTAAGATAAATATGAATGTAACCATATAACTATGCTACACATGTCCAAAAAGTACTTGCGTAAATTGACATAAAATTAACATAAAATGTAAAAATAAAAGGTAAATATAGAAATAATGCTTTTTGAACGTAGTTTGATGAAGTTTAGCATGTAAATTAAACTCTGTTTTACAGTCCTTTTTTACCTGTTTAATGAGATTAAGGAATGGTTGGCTGGAAATTTTTTACACTTGAATGAATCAAAAACTAAAGTGCAAGTGTTTGGCCCTTTGAGTGTCTGTGAATCTATAATTATTCAATTAGGTTCACTTAAACCTGAGGTCCACAGTCACGCAAAAAGACTTGGAGTTATTTTTGACACTGAGTTAAAGTTTGACAAGCAAATAATTTCAGTCATCAAAAGTGGTTTCTATCAATAAAGGAACATTGCCAACTTGAAACCTTTTCTGTCTTTTAAGGAGTTTGGAACCATCATCAATGGGTTTTTTTTATGTCCAGATTGGACAACTGCAACTCTTTGTATTTAGTAGTTTTGCAGGCTTCAATTGTACACCTGCAGCTGGATCAAAATGCAGCTGCCAGGCTTTTAACTGGAAAAAAAAAAAAATTCTACCACTCACCAATTTTATCTTCTTTTAACTGGCTCGAATGGTTCGAAGCTTCGAATGGTCTGGCACCTACTTACACTAAACTTCTTCGCTGGCACACTTCATTGAGGCCAATCAACTCGGAAAACCAGTTTCAGCTATATGTTCCCAAATCATGGTTAAAATCAAGAGGTGACAGGGCTTTTTCTGTCACAGCCCCTCTTCTGTGGAATGGCCTGCCCTTACATATCAGGTCATTCGCTTGGTGCTTTTAAGTCTAATTTAATAAATCACCTCCTGTCTCTTGCTTTTTGATTGCATATATATATATATATATATATATATTAGGGATGTAACAGTATCAAAATTTCACGGTACGGTAATACCTTGGTATAAATGGCACGGTACGGTATTTATTGAATCATTTACAGGAAAAACAAAACTAATGAACATACCCCAAAAAAGTGCCAAAAGTGTCAATGACATACAAATTAGTCATCTATCTGTAAGCTTTGAAACAGGAACTTCAATTTTTCAATTTTAATAACAAAAAAATGATTAAACCATGTAAAAAATAAAGTTTCAATATAGTATTGTTGAAAACTAATCACATTAAACATTTAATCACTCACTCACTCACTCACTCACTCACTCACTCACTCACTCACTCACTCACCAGAGATGGGTTTTAAGGAAAATTATCATATAAATATAATCTGGTAAAAGCTGGTATCTCTGGGCATTTACAATGTCCCCTGCAACAGAAAAAAACCCCTCTCATTTGGGACTGAGGTTTCTGGGACAGAGAGATATGACTTGGGCAAGGTTGACAGCAGTGGGTAACACTGTGCATTGTCTTTCCCCCACTTGAGAGGACAAGCCATGAGTGAGATAGAGGTCTCTTTGCGGTACAAGTCAATATCTGCATCAATCTGAACAGTGTGCTGTGTTTCTGCAGTCCCCATAACTGTTATTAGTCGTATTCCCCAACTTGCAGTCTTCCAAAATTATCAAAAGTGCCCCCGCGACGTGACACACCCTCCGTCCCGCCCTTCAGTAGGCGCGCGACAACAACACCCCCAGAGAAACCAAAATGCTTCCACACATCCGATTTAAAACCCGCTTTAGGTTCGATCATTTCCAGCTCTTTTTCATCCCTGCTACAAGCAGCACAGTCCATTTCTGCCTTACTGGATCTGTAGCGACAACAGACCGCAAAGGATGATGGCCACGCATGGGCTGATGGGAATTGTAGTTTCCGCTACCTCCCGTTCGCTTCATTCGCCTGAGCAAATTTTCTCAGAAGACCTATAGTTTTATCGAGTCATGCGACTACGGTAATATTGAAAAAAATTGCTATTGCGGTAAGACGGTACATCCCTAATATATATATATATATATATATATATATATATATATATATATATATAGAGAGAGAGAGAGAGAGAGAGAGAGAGAGAGAGAGAGAGAGAGAGAGAGAGAGAGATAGATAGATAGATAGATAGATAGATAGATAGATAGATAGATAGATAGATAGATAGATAGATAGATAGATAGATAGATAGATAGATAGATAGATAGATAGATATAGATAGATAGATAGATAGATAGATAGATAGATAGATAGATAGATAGATAGATAGATAGATAGATTTTTATGCTAGTTTTTTTGTAAAACATTTTGGTCAACAATTGCAGGATCAGTGGCTTTCTCAAGCCGTGGTATTAAGGGTGGAGAAAATGCTGGTTATTCACTCCCACCACTGACGATCGCTGCCGAAGAAAGACATTCGAATCTGTGACCTTCCGATCACAACCTGATCTAACCATTAATCCATTACCATATAAATATATATATCTCAGAGGTTTAAAATTTTCCGTTTTACAGTGTAAGCAAATGTGGAAACCATCTTATATTACAAGATACATTTTTTTTCTAAATGTATCAGCAATGTCTGAGGTATAAGAGGTGATGAGACATTGAATGAGAGGTACATGAGACTTGTAACAAATAACACACTTTATTTGTTAAATAAACTTATTAGTAAAATTAAATTCCCATGACTTAAAACACCTCAAACTTAACCAAGAGATTATTTTAGCAATCTAGTATAAGCATATTAAGCAAACTAAATTAATACAGTAAGCAATAAAAAGGCACCACAAACCACAGAAAGAAATTTTAGATGTAGATCATATTAAAGTTATTCATCTCCATCATCTATCAGTATCTATCAGTAATCAGTATCCTTTGCTTTTGAACCACTGGGCTCGGGCAACAACATCATTGCCATAGTCATGGCCTGTGGTGTGATCATCCACATGCTCATATGTCTGAACATTCTTCACACCTGCATTATACGCTGATATTCCACCTGGAACAGACATTATACTGCAATTGAGACATTTATTTCTGTGCAATTTACTGTATGTCTCTTTATCTTACATAGTAAAGAACAACCTACCTTTAAAGCATTGTTCTTGGCTCCACTTGGCAAACTTTTCTTTGATCTCTTTTATAAAACCAATCAGTATCTCAGTAGCTTGTGTGAGATGCTGTTCGCTGTCCCATGCACCTACTGGAGTGTGATAGCGCTTGTCGACCTGAAAAGAAAATGAAGTTTACACTAAATACCTTACCTCACTCTTAAATAACACATTTTTGTGTTGTAGAGATTTTAACACACCTTAACTGTCATCTAATCAGATTGCTGCTTACTTCAATGAAATGTTAAGCAAGTTCAATAGTATGTGTGGATGCAGACTTGCATATACAAGATGAGACTGCGTGTCTCAGGCATGCAATGTCATACACAATGCACTCAACTGAACTTTAAGGCCAACACTTATTTTATCTGTAAAAAGGCTAATCAATAACTGAAAGTTTAAGGGATTTAATGCGGATAGGACACTTCTTTGGACTTCTTTTATTCTTCTTTTATTGAGTCTCTTTTAACTGTTGTCACAGTTAGATGGTAACTGCTGGTACAGTAATCTGGGTGTGACAAACAAGTTAAGACTTCTTATATCTCAAAAAATTGTTGGCAAAAATCCTAACAGTATTGGGCATGTGTATGAGGTGAGAGACAAACAGAGGGCTATTCAATTCAATTCATTCATTTATTCATTTTCTTTTCGGCTCAGTCCCTTTATTAATCAGGGGTCGCCACAGCGGACGCACTTCCAGCTGCAACCCATCTCTGGGAAACATCCATACACATTCACACACTATACGGACAATATAGGCAACCCAATTCACCAGTACCGCATGGCTTTAGACTGTGGGGGAAACCGGAGCACCTGGAGGAAACCCACGCGAACGCAGGGAGAACATGCAAACTCCACACAGAAACGCTAACTGAGCCAAGCCGAGGCTTGAACCAGCGACCTTCTTGCTGTGAAGCGACAGCTCTACCTACTGCGCCACTGCATCAATTAAATTAAATTAAATTAAAATAAATTCATGTTTAGTTCTATAGTGCTTTTACAATGTAGATTGTGTCAAAGCAATTTACCTTAGAAGTTCTGGTAAACTGAAACCGTGTCAGGCCAGTTTTCATAGTTCAAGTTCAGTTTAGTTCAGTTTAGTTTAGTTTTAATGCTGAAAGTCCAAACACCGAAGAGTAAATCTATGAACAGCTTCACAAGTCCCAAATCAAGAAGCAAGTCAGTGGCGACAGTGGCAAGGAACAAACTTTGATGAAATTGACAATCACCAATTTCCTCGATTGACAAAAGTGAAGGAAAAACAACCTTGAGAGAAACCAAGCACAGTTGGGCTATACTATAGTCACTTTAGCAGTTGAGTACCGTCTACTGCATTTGGAGTTTTGTCTCCTGCAGGCGGAAGGTATACTTATTTAAAGGTGCTAGGTCCAAAAGATATTTACATTAATTTGCAATAGTATCTGGATGCAGCCTTTATGATGCAAGATGAGACTGCATCAGTCAGCGATGCAATGTCAGACACAATGCACTCAAATGGAGCTAGTGACGTCATTGTGACCGGTAGGGTTAGGGGTGGGGTTAGGTGAGCCCATTAAAAAGCATTGGATGCAGCCCAGACTGTACTGCAGCAGGTCTGCAGCCAGACCCCTCTTTTAATTTGTTCCTACTGCAACTGGGTTTCTTAACAAGCTTTAAGTTGTATTTTGCTCATTTACATTGGATACTGTTGCTGTTCGAACATGTGTTTGATTGGAAATTGTTTTGTTTATAATTACCATTTTATTTGATTATGATTAACTTTATTGTTAACTTTCATGTTTATTTGTGTGGTGATCTGTGTAGGCTATTGTGGTGAACCAAATTGCCCCTCGAGGACAATAAAGAAATTTCAATCCAATTCAATCAATGGAGCTAGTGACATCACTGTGAGAGGTAGAGTTAGATGTGCTCCTCTTAATAAGTTCTTTTTGTTATCGGTGTAGTATTTGGATACTTAGCTACATGTCTGGTATTTGGATTTTTTTTCTTTGCAAAATGTATTTTGTTGTAGTGAATTATTTAGACTAGGGGTGCCCAAACGTTTTCTTTTGAAGGGCCAAAACCCCAACTTGATTGAGGCTAGTGGGCCGAAGATAAATACAACTGTCATGGGTAATTATCTAATTTATTTAATAATATTAAACATTGATTTCTGTTACTAATACAGCCTATTTTTAAACATTTTATAATGATCTTACTACGGTTAAAACAAAACAATTCCGTTCATAACAGAATGGAGTTCAGCTCACTGATGTCTTCTGCATAGTCCTCTATGCGTCGACTGACATTATTTACAGTTTAAAAATCAGATTAATTTGCAAACATTTAATTGAAACATTTCATTTCAGTTTGATTTTTTTGTAGCTCAGCAATAAAACAAACACACAAAAAAGGTAAAGTCCAATTAGAAAATATGACTTCTTTTAAAGGCATTTGCCCCAACCCTCTCCATCACTCTCACTCTCCTCTCAGATAGGATGGCAGGCCAAATCAAAGGTTAGAATGGGCCAACTTTGGCCCACAGGCCCTTATTTCCTACGTCACACACAATTACTTCATGTTGTCCTTACCCAAATTAAGTTAACTTTATAGTTTTTACTCATTTAAGTGGTTTCAACATAAAACATGTAGAACAACCTGTAGAAATGTGTTGGTCTCATATTAAATAAGTAGTTTAAATAAGCAGCAAAGATAATTTTTTTGAGAGCTGGCCATCTCTGATTTAGACAGTCAATGAGCATTTAGGTAGCACCCATGATACAAGAGCAGTGTTAAACTTGATGGCAACCATGGATGTCTGACAGTGTTTGTTGGTGCTTCACATTCTAACGCATGCAAATTCAATTCTTTGTTGCCAGTTTTTTCAGTATTGGGTGGCCATAGCATGTGCTCATATCTTGATCACATTTTGATTTCAGAATTCATGACAACATGATCAGTATTTACAAGATTATTAAGTAGATTATTACTATGAGCAGCAGTTTTATTAGCCTAGTAATAGAATCATTGTGCTTTCTGATTAAAAAAAAGTCCAGTAATGTGCCAAACATCACAATTGAGTGGCTTTGTAACATTTAAAAAATTTTTTAAATAATTTTTATTATCACAAATTACTTGAAAGTAAATAAAGTAATTACTATAATTTTAAGAAATCCAGTTATCCAGAAACATTTCTGTAAACCCACACTGGGATAGATTGAGATGAATCTTCAGTATCTACAAAGAAGTCTGTTTTAAGGGTGTAGTTAATATTTTCACCAACGAAAAATGTTTTTAAGTCAATTATTTTTTATCTTTTGTTGTAGTGTGCCAGTAGGAATTATCAACATACGTTTCCAAGCATTATGTTTTTTTGAGATTTTACTTTGCACAAGGAACAAGATATCTCATCATCGTCATGAAGAAAAAGAAGAACTAAATCCAGAAGAACTGTGTCATCATTTCCAAAACACTTTAAGAAACCTGTCTGCCATGCTATGATACTGTATAAAGTTTTAGGCACCTGAGTAAAAATGATGTAAAATGAGGATTCTGTCAAAAATAATGAAATTGTAACCACGGGGAGTGACACAAACAACTGGGGTAAGATCAAAAAGCAGGTTTATTCTTAGTCAGGCAAGCAATGGTCAATACGGGTGCAAACAGGTGTGTGAGGACAATCCAGAATCGTAGTCGAAGTAACATGCGAGAGGTCGTAAGGCAGGCAGCAGATTAAGAAGGGAGGCTAACAAGGCTAACGGTCGGTACACAAGATAACAAGACTAGGAAACGCGTTGTAGTGCTACTTACAGTAAAACAAGACTCGGCCAACTGAATGGGTGAGTGTGTGGCTTAAATAGTGTGTGCAACCGGTTTCTGACAATCCTCAGGTGGTGTGAATGTAATCAGTTTAGATAAGAAAGCATGTGTCTCTGGGTAAAGTGCATGTATGAATATGTAGTCCAGAAATGGCGGAATTGTAGTCCATGAGTATTTGTGAGAGAGGACCAGCGATCTAAGGAGTAGTGATCGCTGGTAATTGTGACAGAAATACAGTGCATCCGGAAAGTATTCATAGCGCTTCACTTTTTTCATATTATTTTTGTTACAGCCTTTTCCCAAAATTGATTAAATTAATTTATTTCCTCAAAATCACACACACAATACCTTACAATGACAATGTGAAAAATATATTTTTTGAAATTGTTGCAAATGTATTAAAAGATAAAAAACCTGAAAAATCACATGTACATAAGTATCCACAGCCTTTGCTGAAGCTCTAAATTGAGCTCAGGTATATTCTGTTTCCGCTGATCATACTTGAGATGTTTCAGCAGTTTAATTTGAGTCCACCTGTGGTAAATTCTGTTGATTCGACATGATTTGAAAAGGCATACACCTGTGTATATAAGGTCCCAGGGTTGACAGTGCATGTCAAAGCACAAACCAAGCATGAAGACAAGGGAATTGTCAGTAGATCTCTGAGACAGGATTGTCTTGAGGCGCAAGGCTGGAGAAGGTTACAGAAAAATGTCTGCTGCTCTGAAAATTCCAATCGGCACAGTGGCCTCTATCATCCGCAAGTAGAAGATGTTTGGAACCACCAGGAGTCTTCCTAGAGCTGGCCGGCCATCTAAGCTGAGTGATCAGGGGAGAATAGCCTTAGTCAGGGAGGTGATCAATAAATCGAGGGTCACTCTGCCTGAGTTCCAGCGTTCTTCTGTGGAGAGAGAAGAACCTTACAGAAGGACAACCATCTGTGCAGCAATCCACCAATCAGGCCTGTATGGTAGAGTGACCAGACGGAAGCCCCTCCTTAGTAAAGGGCACATAGCAGCCTGCCTGGAATTTGCCAAAAGGCCTCTGAAACAAAATCCTCTGGTCTGATGAGACTAAAATTGAACCCTTTGGAGTGAATGCCAGGTGTTACGTTTGAAGAAAACCAGGTACTGCTCATCACCAGGCTAATACCATCCCTACAGTGAAGCATGGTGGTGGCGGCATCATGTTGTGGGGATGTTTTTATCCTAAATGAAAACCTGCTTCAGAGTGCTCTTGACCGCTCAGACTGGGGCAATGGTTCATCTTTCAGCAGGACAATGACCCACAGCACACCGCCAAAATATCAGTGGAGTGGCCCTTGAGTGGCCCAGCCAAAGCTCAGACCTAAATCCTATTGAACATCTCTGAAGTGATTTGTAAACGGCTATACATAGTCGCTTTCCATCCAGCCAGATAGGGCTTGAGAGGTACAGCAAAGTGGAATGGGCAAAAATTCCCAAAGACAGGTGTGTCAAGCTTGTGGCATCATATTCAAAAGACTTGAGACTGTAATTGCTGCAAAAGGAGCATCAACAACGTATTGAGCAAAGGCTGTGGTTACTTACGTACATGTGATTTTTCAGGTTTAATTTTTTTTTTAATTGTTAATAAGTTTGCAACAATTTCAAAAACTCTTTTTTTCACATTGCCATTATGGGGTATTGTGAGTAGAAGTCTGAGGAAATAAATGAATTTAATCAATTTTGGATTAAGGCTGTAACCTAAAATAATGTGAAAAAAGTGAAGCGCTATGAATACTTTCCGCATGCACTGTAAATAGTTTTATATAAGTCATTTAACATCTTCTATACTAAAGGGCTGTTGAGCTTAACTGATTCTGATTGGCTGATTCTAAGGCAATCCAGGCTCATTGAAAAATTCCTGTAAATATCATTAGTGTGAATAGAAATAAAGGCTGTTGGCATCATTCTGCCGCATACTGTTTATTTCACACACTGTAACTACTGTCAAACGTGTTTGAGTATGTATTTGTGGTTTCACAAAAATCCAGACAGACTGGATGACGGTGAGATCAGATCTCTGTTCGAAACTGGCTGCTGTCAGACTCCAGTGCAAACCAAAATCTCACTGTATTATTACAATTAATAACAAAAATAATGTAAACTGATATTTGCTGCGGAAACTGTATACAGGAAAAGATTGAAATAAGTGACTTTAATACATAACTGACTGTATAATATTTTGATTAACACTTTCAGACCAACCTGCATGAGACCAAAACCATTGCCGTGGTCACCCCATCCATCCTTCAGAATGGCTCCAGCTCTGGACTCTCTGGATATGATAGCAGCAATTACAGCCGGGTCCATCTGCTTTGCCCTACCAACATTAATGATTTTAGTTTTGTATTTCTCCATCCGGGCCAGATCATGCTCTGCCAGCTTTTTAGAGGCTTCAACACCTGTGAAAACACTCAGTTATTATTTTCCGTCAGTTGTGATGAAGTGCTGTCACGACTTCAAAAGTTGAGTTGTATGCAATCATGAATTCTCACCCGTTACAGATAGTTTGTCCTGTTCTGCTGTCTTCTTTGATGCACCAGTGGTGCCTACTTTCATGATGTCTCCATAAATGCATGCTAGAAACAATGTCACCAAAGGAATTTCAAGTCACAGAACGTTTATGCTATCATTAAATGCATCTTGTTGTTAATAGAAAAAGAAAAGTCATAATTTGATATAACTTACCCATGATGTTGGCTCAGTGTGAAAAATCAAGTTTGACAAGTCTCACCTCTAAATGAGACCAAGTGCAGGACTTGATTACTATATATATGATTGCAGAGGGAGTGGTTTGTTTTTTATTTCCTCCAATCTTTTCCCATAAACGTGGGAAGAAATTAAGCTTTCAAAATTTGCAACTATGAAGGTTGCAAAAATTGTAATCCTTTTTTATTTATTCTGATATTAAAGTCATATTATGATCATGAGTCATATTATATAATAATAATAATATTAATAATAATATTAATAATAATAATTAAATTATTATTATTATTAACCTGAGGTAGTGAATAAGAAGGCAGGTTATGTGAGGTGAGGTCGAGGTATCATGTGCCTTCATGCAAAGTTATTAGTCAATTTAATGAATATACTTGATGACAAGGGAAATCCTGTCTGGATACAGAGACGATAGAATCTCAGACATGTGCAAGCTGTGAGCTGCAAACAATGTTTTTAGTGCCCACACCCAAACCCGCCTCTATCACAGTGCCTCTAAGTGTCATGCTGCTGCCATTGCACTTTTCTGAGCAGTAGGTCACATCTGAGATGTTGGGCCCTACACCCCGCGCATTGAGGCGCAAGGTGCGAGGCAATTGTTGTTTGCTAGTCACAGCTCAGCGCAAGAGTCGTTTTGCACCACGCTGTTTAAATAGCAAATGCATTTGCGCTCATATGTGCCCCCATAGGCGTTCTCGTCTGAAAAAGGAGGCGTATTAAGGCGCATTGCTGCCACGTTGCTATTTTGAGGAACTGAAATAGACAGTTCAACAGACCAGATCAAAGCAGGTCTATGGTCCAGCGCAGAGCGCATTAGTTGTGCGCCTCCCTTATATTGCTTACTACATACAGGGTGTACAGCAATATGCAAATTTCTTTACAAAAGAAAAAGAATTAAAGGATTAAAATATTACAAAAGTTATTATTTTCTAGCCTACATAAATACATTAAAACATACTTTCATGCCTTCTTCATCTTGGGGGGCTTTTTCAGTTTATTCATAACAATTTGCTTTTTTTGTATAATGCTAGATTTTCCCACCTGTCAGGTTATAGATCAGGGGTGGGCAAACTCGGTCCTAGAGGGCCAGTGTCCTGCACAGTTTAGCTCCTACTCTAATCAAACACACCTGCTTATAGATTCTAGTGATCTTGAAGACACTGATTAGCTTGTTCAGGTAGGTTTGACTAGTATTGGAACAAAACTCTGCAGGGACACCGGCCCTCGAGGATCAAGTTTGCCCATCCCTGTTATAGACCATATGGGGCATAGCATGTGTATTTGGATATAACTCAGTTTTTTATTAAATAATTAATTGTTTATAGGCTAAAGGATGTCTGTGCATACAACTCGTTTCCCTATTCACAAGAGTGAAAGTGAAAGTAAATCATGAGGAGGCTTATGTCTCTTTCTAGTGCTGTAGATGCTCTGTTTAACTGTTTTCTCGCTAGTTAAAGAGTTCAGTTTTTCCACTTACAAAGTTCGTCATGTAAATAGCAAATACCCTTTGGCGCAACACAACTGGCTCTTAAAAGGAATGGGAGATGAGACTCTGATTGGTTTATTCTCAAAACACACCCAATACTCATTAAGAGAATAAGCACAACCCTGTTAGACCATGCACAGCATTGCAAAGCGGATTTTTGCGCCCTGCACTTTGCGCATGGATTGTCAAAATAGAGCCCGTTGTGTTACTTCGTTACTCTTGCTCATGTACAGTCAGGGTTCATACACATTTTTACTACTAAAATTCCAAGGCTTTTCAATGACTTTTCCAAAACTTTAAGGTAAATATTTATGATCTTGTTTCGTGTTTCATGCAATTTCTACATACATGTGGTAAAAAAAAAAATACACGTTCAAATTTATTACAGCATATCAAAAAATATGTGACAATCCATGTAGTTTATATTTATTTTTATATCTGTAAAATCATTTTTAGAAAGTATCTTGCTGTCTGCTTGAGAAAATGTATAGTGTTGGCTTGTGTTTTCACGAGACTTAAGATTACTACTTTAGCCTTTAGCACCCACAGTATCTTACCTCTGCAGTTAGTATATTGTTTCTGGACACGACAATCTAAATGCATCCTGAATTACGGTGAAAGCGAGTTAAAAAGAGGCGAAGCTAAAATTGCTTTTGATTTTTTAAGCTATTGCTCTTTTTAACCATTTTATTTTTTTTGAAGTTTACCCATCCAATATAGTGTCCTGTCCATCTCAAATATTTAGGTACACAGATAATTGTTAAACAAATTTTCATGACTATTCCAAAACATTGTACAGTACATTTTGGTGTGAAAATAGTAGGGCAACTGAGATCTAAAATAAACACTAATAGTGTTAAAACTAGTGGCCTGACCTAATATTATTTATACACATATTCTGGAATAGTTGGCGGTTCATTCTGCCGTGGCCTTTCCTGATAAATAAGAGACTAAGCTGAAGGTAAATGAATGAAAAAGTAGGCCCTAACCATTAGGTACATTACTCAAAAAACACAGGATTTGAATAAAGACATTTTATTTATTTCCAGCAAATACAAAATAAAGTATAAAACTGTGATCAGTGGTTAGAGTGAGCTATTAAAAATAGCATTAGACTACATTTATTCCTTAGTAACCTTTACTTTTGAACCACTGGGCTCGGGCAACAACATCATTAGCGTAATCACCGCCTGTGGTGCCCACATCCATGCGCTCATATGTTTGCACGTTCTTCACACCTGCATTATACGCTGATATTCCACCTGAAAGAGACATAAATTTTTTACATAATTAATGTAATTTTTAATAATGAATAAATTTTATGTTTTTTAACATAAAAAAAATATTTTGTTACTCAAGTAAGATACACACACACAAACACAAGTGAAAATAAATTGTTTAATTTTTTTGTACTAATTGGTAGTTACATTTCAGATCATATCTTAAAAATGTACACTGTAAAGTCTAATTCAACAACATCATTCATATAATTAAATTAAATATTAATCAGTCATTATACACTGTAAAACCCAACAGTCAACTTTATCAAACGAAATGAGTGTAGTTGACTGAAAGTTAATTCTACTCAATTGAAAAGAGTTTTTAACTTAGTGTTAAAGGTAATGAGTTAATTAAATACCTCATACTTCAACTTGAATGTAGTAAGTTCACAGTACTCATATAGGTTAGTTTTTTTTTTTTAACTCAAATGGTTTGTAGGAATTGGTTTCCTCAAATGGCTTAAGTTACCTGACCTTTTTGGGTTTTACAGTGTAAGCATGGTTCAAACTATATTTATCATAACACGGCTTTGTAGAAATTACCCATTAAAAGTAATCTGAAGAAATACGAGTACTTGGGATCCTAAGGAAGATCCAATTGGAGGACCAGTTTTTTTTTTTCACACCAGCACTTCAACATGTCTGATTGTTGCACTGTTTCACATTGTATTACATGAAACTTTACGGGACGGGTTGCTGAATTAATGTGCCTTAAAAATGCAAAAAACTATTCATTTACACCTGTCCTAATTTTGTAGCTATCAAAAAAAAAAAAAAAAAATTATATATATATATATATAATAAAAATTAAATCTGAAATTTCACAATGTTTGCTTTTACACAACGCTGGCTTTTATAGCTGTTAAAATTGTTTATTTCATAATTATTAGATTTAAATATTAAGGGAAAATATAGTACACTTGAATTCCCTCATATAAATGATTTTTTTAGGAAATGGGTTGAAAATGTGCAAAAAAAAACAAACATAAAAAACACATACACTGTAAAACTCAACAGTCAAATTTATCAAATCAAATGAGTGTAGTCAACTCAAAATTTACTGCAAGTTAATTCTACTCATTTGAAAAGAGTTTTAAAATCAGTGTTGAATGTAATGAGTTAATTAAATACCTCATTACTTGAATGGAGTAAGTTCACTGTACTCATATAGGTTAGTTTTTTTTAACTCAAATGGTTTGTAGCAATCGGTTTCCTCAAACGGTTTGTGTTGCCTGAACTTATTGGGTTTTACAGTACTCAGTTGGTTTGAGTTCTCTTCATTTATTGAGTTTTACTGTACTTAAATTACTTAGTTTACTTAAATGGATTAAGTTGACAGTACTCATTAGGATTAGTTTTGAAACTTAAATGTTTTTTTGCAATTAGTTTCCTTAAATGGCTTGAGTTACCTTAACTTTTTTAGTTTTATAGTGTAAGCATGGTTCAAACTATATCATATCATGGCTTTGTAGGAATTGTGATCAGCAGCCAAGAATGTATCCATTAAAAACTATTTTGAAGGAGTAGGATTACTTAGGGCTTTAAGGAAGACCGAATTTTAATGGAGGACCAGATTTTTTTTTTCTTCACACCGGCACTTCATCATGTCTGATTGTTGCATTACATTCATCATGTCCCATTGCATTACATTAAACATTTCGGGAAAAGTTGCTGAAATAATGTGCTAATAAGACAATGTTTTATCTGCATCTAAACTTGTGAGTTTATTTTGAAGATTTAAAAATGTGACAAATTATTCATTTAAACTAGTCCTAATTTTGCAGCTATCAAAATATAAAAAATGAAAATCAGAAATTTCACAATGTTTGCTTTAACACAACGCTTGCCTTTGTAGTTATAAAAATTGCATGAGTTTATTTCACAATTATTAGATTTAAATATCAGGGGAAAATCATACACTTGTCTATACACCCCGAATTCCCTCAAAAATCTATTATTATTTATTTTTTTAGGAAATGGGTTGAAAATGCGCAAAAATTTTAAAAAACAAAACAAAAAACATCTAGTAAAGAGATGAACCAAAATGCATTTTAATACTAGGTATTAAACAGGGCCTGACAATATTACCTTTAAAGCATTGCTCCTTGGTCCATGTGGGAAACTTTGCTTTAATATCTTTGATATAACCAATGAGTATCTCAGTTCCTTGTGTGAGATGTTCCTCGCTGTCCCAAGCACCTACCAGTTTGTGGTAGCGTTTGTCAACCTGAAAGAAACACAATCAATAAAAAGAGAAATTGTAAACATTGCAGATTTTTTAGTTGCATCAATCTGTGGAAAGTACAGCAGGGGGAACTGATGCCTTAAAAGGGGAAACTGGAAATATCAAATGAACACAATAATGAAAAAGAACAAGATCTGCTTTATTGTGCAAGTCTTCACATTGGATCATTAGAGGAAATCATGGCCTGACAAACAGTACACACGTTTTGACATGTTGCATACTTGTGGTTCATAAAAGCAGCTTGTATAATTTCCAGATTTCTGCCTTCTTCTGCCTTATTGAATGCCCTAAAAATGCCAGTTACAATGATGCTTATTATAGTGTTTAGTTTACTCAGGTTCCAGTTTCTTACTTACAAAAAAATTTATTTCAATATTCATGATTACTTTGTCTATTTAATGTTTAGATCCAGATTTAGACTTAACACCATGTCATCTTATATGCACTTACATACTGTATATATACTCACTTGCTTCTTTTGGTACACCTTGCTACCCATGTCTGCTTGTTAAGCCATGACGTACAGAATGAAATACTGTTTCTGGGTTCAAGCTTCTACTCAGTTGAATTAAGAAAATATTAGTTTATGATCTCTTTTTAGTCAAATCACACATTAAAGTATTTTTATAGATATAAAATCATAATGTACACAACAGTCTCTGAGCTAGCTGCATCACAGACATCAATGTTTTAACTCTTTATCATCTCATATTAGGCATGGTTGTATATATTGCAATCATGATTTCGAAGGTATTACATTGCTTTGTAAATGTTTATTGCTACCATTTGTTGAGCTTTCCCATATATTTTACCAGAGAGCTTGGATCCAGAAGCAAATTAAATTGCATATATAACATACATTTAAATGTTTGGATTTTACATATTTAAAATATATAACATATACATACAATTCAAAATATTGCAAAAACGGTCATTTATATTTTTACTTTTATCCATTGGAATTATAAATATACATATATGTTAAATTAATTTCATTTTATATACGTTCATATATAGTCATATGTTAGATTTCCCAAGTACTGGAGTGGACGACAATTTTTGCCTTCAGTACTGCTTTAATCTTTCATGAAATATATAGTATATACTGTATCTCAGAAGCTGCACATTCTGTACATGATGCAAGTCATTCACTACATCTCAAAGGTGTTATTTTTAAATGAGATCTGGTGAGTGTATAGGCCAGTTAAGAACAGTATAGTGAGCTCAGTGTCATGTTAAAGTTGTGTGAAAAGGATGTTAAGATTGATTGTCCATTTTTCCCATTTTGTGACAAATAAAATGCAAGATGGTGTTTAATTCCAACCATTGGGAACTGATTGGCTCATTGGGAGATGGATGTTGCTACACTGTAAAAATATGATCAATTAGTCCTGACAGTATGGTTAATCGTTATCACTTTATTTTATAAGTTACACAAGCTGTTTTAAGTCAGTTTAACATAATATAAAGAGTCATAAGGTTCATTTGATTCAGCCTAAAAATTTAAGGCAACCAGGATTTTTTGTTTTTACAATGTAACAAAAATGAGGAAGACTGACATATTGATGAAAGCAAGCAAACAATAGTCTATTGTTAGATTAGGATGCTGATTGTAATTAGTTACACAGTGACATTACTGATTAAATTTACATTTCTGCTACACTCAAAACATGATTTTTGCTGTTTGTTTAATTTTTTATTTATTTAAAAAGAGTATTCTTAAGTTGTTTTTGTTTTATGTTTAATTCACTTAAAGTTGCCAAAAGTGTACTTTTCAGTTGATCTTGCACTGCATTAATAATACTGGTGAAGAACTGGTGAGCTCTTCTGCCGATGTAGCTCATCTGCTTCAAGGTTTATGCATCTAGAAATGCTCTTTTGCAGACTGTTATGACAGTTGCTGATGCCTTTCTATCAACTGAATTAAACTAGCAATTTAACTCTGACTTTTGACATCAACAACATATTTTCGTTCACAGAACTGCGACTCATTGGGTATTTGATCTTTTCTAAATAATTTTCTGTAAAGGTGATGTTGAATGTGAAAATCAGATTAGATCAGCTGTTTCTGAAATAACCGAGAAGCCTGTCAGTAACAACTCCATGCTTTAAGTGACTTACAGTAAATCAACATTCTTCCCCATTCTGTTGCTTAGTTTAGACTTCATGGTCATGTTCAGTTGCTGTCATATGACATGCTGTAGATAAGATATTTGCATTAACAAGCAGTTGACCTGGAATACCTATACTTGCAGACGAGTGTATATTCCGCATAAGATGTTGCTGTCCTATCTCTTTTGAAAAAGTGGAAAAAGTGTAGATCTTCAAACCAACCTGCATGAGACCAAAGCCATTGCCGTGGTCACCCCATCCATCCTTCAGTGCCGCTCCAGCCCGGGACTCTCTGGATATGATGGCAGCAATCACAGCCGGGTCCATCTGCTTTGCTCGGGCAACTTTGAGGATTTTGGACTTGTATTGTTCCATTCGGGCCAGATCATGCTCAGCCAGTTTTTTAGAGGCTTCAACTCCTTTTAAGAGAATAACTCACTGTTAATGTAAAGTGCAGTGAGGTACAACGCATATAAAGGTTAACTTTGGTTTCTGGATACACCAGTTAAGTAATCATACCCTTTACAGTTAACTTGTCCTGTTTTGCTGTCACCTCTGATGCCCCAGTGGTGTCTATTTTCATGATATCTCCATAAATGCATGCTAGAAAATACATGGTAAGTATCACCGGAATGCCTTCAAAGAAATTAGCAAATAACTTGTTTAAAAACACAACTTAAGACAGTTTAATATTTAAAGTATTTTTAGCTAAATTTATTTAGCTTACCCATGATGACTCAAAGCTGCTGTGAACAAAACAAAATGTTCGAGCTGTGACTAGTCAGTCCACTGAATGTTGTGCTATTGTGATTGCAGCTGAAATGCTTTCTCTTCCTCAGTCCTTCAGTTAAGGAGGAATGAAATCAATAGTCACTGTAAACATTGCGGAACTGGGAATTTCCATTTTAGTCATACTAATACAACACATTCAAGCTGGCTGAAGTATGTTATTTATTACTATCAGTTAACAATATAATTTACTTGATTGTGGCAATATGATACTGTAGCCTATATGTCATTCAATACAAGTAAGCTCACAGTTTCACAACAAAAGAGGATTTTTGTCTAAAAGAGGAACAACATCCAACTAATGAGGACCTGCTAATGTGCTAATGAGGACCTGCTAAAAACAAACAAAACAAAAAAAAAACTTATTATAAAATACTAGTTTTTAGGCAAAATGCCAGGAAATAGCTATTTAAAACAACAGTTATAAAAGTAGCTTACTTTTATGATATTAAACGAATGTATAAAAAATATACATGTGACCCCCAAAATAACAATGCCAGCGACTCATGACCCCCAACATCTTTGGAGGTGGTTATAAATATTCAAACATTCCACATACAACAGTAGGTCTATTTAAACATGAGCTTATTGACAACACACAAAAGTGCAACTGTCTAACAACCATGTCGTTTTTATAGTCATTTATTAATTAGTTTAATTTAATATTAACCTCACCTAACTGGTGAGCATATTGTTTCCAGCACAAGTTTAATTTTGGAGACCACCACTTATAGATCATCTTCAATGTTCAGTAATGACCTGTATTTAATTTTAATGTAGATTACCACAGAGTTGTCAGAAAGTTTAACCTGGTGTTATAAAATCAATCTGATGCATGTGACACTATTATTGTGTTGTTAATCTAATGTAAACACATCAAAACAAAAATTTAAGGCTGATGGCTTTTTATTTGCAAGTTGTTGTTTTTTATGTAACTGTTAATTATTATTTTTTATCTTTTGTGGGGATAAAATTATGGTAATATTGTAATAATAATAGTTTAATAAAATGTATTTGACTTTTGAAAATCACCAACCGACCCCCTGTCATTATCAGACTCTCACTTTGGGAATCACTGGCCTAAACTGCAATAAACAGAAAATACTTGCAATAAACCTTCCTGCTTGCAATGTAATGACAAACCCATACACTGGAAATATAGTACTAGTAGCTATATTAGGTTCAACAAAAATAAAACGAATCAATTTAGTCCAACAGTTAGGAACACAATGAAGTATTCACAGTTCTCAATCCTGTCAGTGCCACCTTATTGAAGCGAAACTGTGTACTGTCCCTTTAAGACCACCCCCTCCAATCATAGCAAGCCTTTGAAAACCAGGAAGCAAAACACTGGAATTCTCTAAACAGCATAAAACAAACATGTGAAAGAAGTATCTGAAACGAAACCGCGCAACACAATGAATGTAATGTTCGTATTTACGTGTTGGTGGTTTGTTTTTATTTTTCACCTTTTGGGGCGAGATGTTTTTGCAGCAAAAAGCAAAGATTTCAACGTTTTGTATTTAATTGCTGACGATCTGAGACCATCTTTAGGCTGTTATTCTGATCCAGTGGTCAAATCACCGAACATCGATCAGCTTGCATCTTTGAGCGTAGTGTTTCATAACGCATATGCCCAGGTATGTTGTATTAATGCTCATGGAAAACATGAATAATATGCATATGGATACATAATGCATACATCTATACTTATGTTAAGTGTATATTACAATGTGTTCTTTCAAAGCAAGCTGTTTGTGGACCTAGTAGAGTGTCTTTCCTAACAAGTCGAAGACCAGACACCACAAAACTCTACGATTTCAACTCATACTGGAGAGTTCATGCTGGAAACTACACCACACTACCTCAATACTTCAAGTCTAATGGATACACCACTTTATCAGTGGGCAAAGTCTTCCATCCTGGTATGACGCGTGCATAATTTTCACGATGCGTGAAAAAACTGTATCTCATTATTGAGGCTAAATTCTAATTCTAAAAAAGTCATAATAATTTGTAAAGTGTAATGAAATCAAGAATCTGTGATTTGTTCAGCAGACAGTTCACCCATAAATTAAAACCCACTGACTAAATAGACGTTAAATCCAACATTCTTCAAAATATCTTTGAAAAAAAAAAAAAAAAACTCAAAGTCAACAACCTCTTTAATTTTCTTTAATCTTTATTTATTTGATAAAAGTGAAAAAAAAAAAACATTTTCTGTGTTTTTTCCTCACCAAATACCTTAAATTTAGTAAATTAAAGACATTTTTGATTACAATTGCTGAATAAATCAGTGCCACTCCAACCACAATTAATAATAAAAATAATATAATAAATAACAATAATAATTATTTGAGTCTTTTAAATATGTTATATATTATTTTTCTTTAGTAAAAGAGCATTGAATTTTTCATTAATTGAATAATTTTTTTCATGATGTTTGGGACAAAATGATCAGGCATAATTCAGTTTTGCTTTATTTCTGAGATATCCTCATGTATCACGCGGTTACATGCTTATTGTAAAACGTTTCAAAGTTTATTGTTCTATAACCATTTCAAGAAAAAATGGTTAAAGAAAATGGGTAGTTTCCCCAAAAATTTAATTTTCTGTATTTACACATTCTCCACTTTTTCCAAGTCTTTTGAGTTATTTTGTTGTTGTTGTACACAAAGGCAGATGTTCTGATGATTGTGGGAAAAAAAGTGATTGACTTTAGTAATGTTTTTTTCCATCATTCTTTAGAATTTCTTGTTTTATGTTTAACAAGGTAAGTGTGAGTAAATGCTTAGCAAATTCAATTTTTGAGTCAACTGTCTCTTCAAAAAACAAACAAACAAAAACAAAAAAACACACCTGTTCTTGATTACTGCATTTTACAAAATATTTTCAGAATATCTTGTTTTATGTTCAACAGCTTGTAAGATTTTCATAGAGTATTCTAAACTACTGTCTGACACAACATTCAAAGGCCAAATCCCCTTCATAAAGAAAATAACAAATTACTCTTTTAACATAATTATCAAATCATACAATGCATTTAAGCTTAGAGGTTATTTAAAATTTTAATTTTGACTGATTTAAATTTTAAATAATAATTTTTATTATGGTTATGTTTTTTTTATTTTATATTTATTTTTTTCAAGATTTTTTGTCTGATTCTGTAGACATTTATACAATTCTGACTCCTGCTGGTTAATATGCTGCATAACCAGTTGAGAGCCTACTGTTTCCTATGGGGTAGGTACCGGGAGTACCACTTTACGAATAAAACGAAAAATCTAATTATTAATTTAATAATTTAAACATAAAAATGTATATCAGTAAATCACAGTTTAAATGGTAAGATAAATTTAATTGTGTTTATTTAAGTAGTTTTTAAAATGTCATTTAATTAATCAATAAAACAACGCATCTAAAAATAATTTAATTTATAATTAAATAGTTGATATTATAACTGTTTATTTATTTCATAAAAGTATTATTGTCCTCTATTATTGCCCCCTAATTATTCGTCCTCTTCAGCAATGCAGTGATCTTAGACCCTTTCTTGTTCACTCCAAAACTGCATAAGAACTCCAGATCTTTGTGCAGCAGTGGAGTTTGGTTTAGCATTTTTGGTCCTCCAGCAATGTGGCAAAAAGTATAAGAAAATCATTTGCCAAATATATTTTTTCAAAAGCTAGTTAAAATGTTTATTTTAAAATGTAAAAAAAAATATTTATTTATTTTTCACTCTCTAACCCCCCCCCCCCCCCCCCCCAAACCCCCCCACCCCCAAAACACCACTTCTTGATTACTGCATTTTACAAAATATTTTCAGAATTGGAGTTGCTACTTTACCTTCTAATTTAAGTGTAAACTATATGGCTTATTTTTTTCAAGGTTTTGTCCTGTAATCCTTTCATGTGTTAACTTTCTTGTTTTATGTTTGTCAAATAACCTTTCTCTTTCACGTGCTTGTCCTCAAGGCATTGCCTCCAACCACTCGGATGATTACCCGTACAGCTGGTCTGTACCGCCGTATCATCCACCCTCTTTTGAATATGAAAAGAGGAAGGTCAGTGTGTGAGTCTGTGTGGAAATGTGTTTACACATCCTCCTAAACCTCTGAGCTTTTAAACCCATCTTATGTTCTTAAAGTAATTGTTCACCCAAAAATGAAAATTTACTCACCATTTACTTGTTCTTGTGTGTTTCTTTGGTCATATGGAACACAAAAGAAGACATTTGAAGAATGTTAGATATTGGTAGCCACTGACATCATTAGTTGTTTTTCCTACTATGGAAGTCAGTGGTTACAGGTTCCCTGTCTTTTTTGTTTTGACAGAAGAAATAAACTTTTTTAAAAAAAGTTTGAAACGAGAAAAGGATAAGTAAACAATGACACATTTTTTAAAACTGCCCTCAAAATGTCCCTTGGTGTATTTCAAAGTGACACCAGTGCTAACAGTATATACAGAGATGCCTCATTTATGAAACAGTACATCAGTATGCTTTTAGTATCAATACCTGGCTCATTTTTAAAGGTTGTAACTTTTTTTCCAGCATTCTTCAGAATATCTTGTTTCATGTTCAACAGATTGTAAGATTTTCATAGAGTATTCTAAACTACTGTCTAACACAACATTCAAAGGTCAAATCCCGCCTAAAAATTAACAAATTATAACTTGGGCATGGGATGATAACCGTTTTCAAGGTATACTGCGGTCTAGGTTTTAAAGCCGCCAACATTTTCTATATAAATGTCTCTAAATATATATATATATATATACATATAATTTTATTTTTTAAATTTTTTTAAAGTTTCCAGCAGAAAAAATATCCAAAGATGCCGTTTTAAATTGCAATGACATCTGTGTTTTTGAAACTAATGAAGACAGCAGAAGTCAATGATTCATTTGAATGATTTAGCCTTACATGTTTACTGCTCCAAAATACTTGAAATGTTTCCCAAATAAAATATTTATGGTCAAAATTGAAAAAAAGTTTTTTTTTTTTTTTACCCAGTAATATTTAAAAGGAATATATTTTATAGCAGCAAACTTTTTTTATCATACCCTCAGAATTATATACCGGCCCATGCCTATGTTACTCTTTCAATTTTCTTATTGACTGATTTCAATTTTAATAAAAAAAAATATATAATTATATTAACAACAACAACAACAATAATAATAATATTGATTTTTATATTATATTTACTTTTTCAAGTTTTTCTGCCGTCTGATTCTGTAGACTTTTGTACAATTCTGACTCCTGCTGGTTAATATGCTGCATAACCAGTTGAGAGTCTATTGTTTCCTATGGAGGACCTGAAGTGCCACTTAAAAATGAAACGAAAATAAATAAAATTACATTAAAATATAAATTTAATAATTGAAGCATAAAAATGTATATAAATAAATCACAGTTTAAATTGACAAATAAATATACATATTTAAAAGTGTCTATTTATTTAGTTCCTTTAAATGTCGTCTAAAAAGCCAATAAAACAATGCATTTAAAAATAATTTTATATTTTATACTTAAATAAATAGTTGATTTTATAACTGTTTATTGCTTTCTTAAAAGTATATTAATTATTTGTCCTCTTCAGTAATGAAGTGATCTCAAACCCTTTCTTGTTCACTCCAAAACTGTAAGAACTTCAGATCTTTGTGCAGCAGTGGATTTTGGTTTAGAATTTTTGGTCCTCCAGCAATGTAGCAAAAAGTAAAACTAATTAGATTTTTTTTCTGCTGGGCCATTAAAAAATTCTTAGTGTTTAGCTTTTTGTAAGTATGAAATTTCTTCATGGTCTTATAAAGTTCTTAAATTTGACTTGGTGAAACCTGCAGAAACTCTGGATTAATCATTATTTTAAAATATGATGTAAATAAACAGTTATAAAAATCTCATTTAAAATTTTAGTTGTTTTCATTTTTAATAACAAAATTAAACCTACAAAAAATAATAAAAACAAAATAAAAAACAAAAAATTGTTTTGTCAAAACATTAAAAAAACTAAAACTATCTGCGATGTTCCTTGACATTGTACTTTTAATGAATTAATGCATAAATAATTTTTGGTGTAAAATGTTTTATAACAAAACATTTTCTACATTTTAATAAATGAAGATAAATGTTACTCTAGCTAACCTAAATAAAGTTGTAAAACAAATATCATTTTTATTACAGGAAATGTAAGTAAATGCGAATGACTAGTAGTAATGACAATTAATACGAAAAACACTATAAAATTAAAATGAATCAAATGAAAACCTTTAGAAGAATATTATACTAATTCTAATTTCATCATACATAAAATGTATAACATTTAAAGTGTTTAATACTTAATTTTTTTTTAAAGCTGAAGAGAGAGTGATTTGATTTGGTAATTTGTCAAGTTAGAGAATCGTAAAATAAAAACTGTCACTAGGTTACCAGTATTTATATTTATGACTCTCTATGGCACCCTTTATGATTAAATAGGCAAAAATGTCTTCCTTTTGAAAATATAGCACCCCAATAATCATTTCTGTGCCTTTATTTTTGAGAGTGTACTTTGAGAAAGCAAACAGCAGAAATTAAATTCTAAGTAATTGCAGTGCTTTGTTTTCAATATGTCATATTCTTCTGCTAGGTTTGCAAAGATAAAGACGGCACGTTGCACAGTAACCTGCTGTGTCCCGTGAACGTGTCTGAAATGCCTCTAGGAACCCTTCCTGACATGGAGAACACAGAGGAGGCCATTCGACTCTTGCGCTCTATGAAGGGCTCACAAAAACCATTCTTCCTGGCTGTCGGCTTCTATAAACCTCATATTCCTTTCAGAATCCCACAGGTATGGACTTTTCTTAGTAAATTATGACATGCAAAATGATACTAAACAGCACTGAAAGATGTTCATTGACTCGTCGTCATAGGAGAACCACTTTCACACCAGAACTAACACAGGGTAAAATTATAGAAAATATACCCATGGCTGTTTTTTAATGTTCAAAACATTATTTTTATTATTGATAGTTAAGGGACTGTTTACATCTGGTCACTTCATGTGTTTTTCTGATCAGATGACTATACGATTATGAAAAGGGCCAGCGTAAATGCATTTTGAAATGCATTTCAGATGCATATAATCTGATCGCTTTAACCAGGGATTTTTAACTGGTGGGCCGGGACCCACTAGTGGGCCTCAGCGATCCTGCAGGTAGGCTGTGGTATTAAATTATAAATGAAACTCTTAACATTATACTATAATTTTTGCATTCAATTATGAACATGCTATATTAAAATGATAGAAGTGATGCAATTTCTCCTGTTCTGTGATTGATTATTTCAAACTAGGTGCAAAAAACAGCCTCATGATTGCGTCTGAAACTAGTACTCACAAGTCTGTTCATTCACAAACTATGCATGAAGTGAAAGTGAAAGTCTCTCTTTGTGTATTTTTGTATAAACTATTTAATATATCTAGCTATATAGAATCTAGCTGGGCTTAATGGTGTTTCTGCCATATAATGTAAAATAAACTGCTTCAGACGTGCTCTGGTGGAGCTGTTCACTGTTTCTGTCAGCGATCACCCAATAATATCTGGCTTCAAACTCAACCGCCATCAGAACGACTCATTTCAGAAGTTTTAGGGTGTTTTACTTTATTTTACATTTGTCTTTTTTACATTAGTAGATATTTAATAGTAGATATTCAGTAAGTCCAGTTTAAAGCAGAAGCTGGTCTCTTAGAATCTGTGTATGTTTAAAAAATAAAATGCTGATAACAGAAAATAATATAAGACACAGCAAATATATAAATGCATAAATATATAAAATGGTTTAAATGAGCATTTCATACAAACTTTTTAGACAACCCCTGGCTTAAACCACTTCCAGATGAAACCAGACAGTTTCTAAATGCATCAGTTTGTTAAACCACATACAGTATGTGCATTTTACTGCTCCACAATTGTACAAAAAAAACAACAAACAAATAAAAATAGTGTGAGCTTCAGTAATGAAACACAGATAACGTTTGAAATGTTTGTTTTGTCTTATTTCAATATTTTTGTTTCATCATATTTTGACCCATTAAATGATAAAATCCCAATGTTGACTTAAATCAAATAACTGCATTAACAACAGGGACTCTTTATCACGCACATGTAGTAGCCTAATTCTGTGAATAGGTATGAAAAATAATTAAACAAATATAGTGATTTTTTTTCTCTCTTCCCTTTACAAAGGCACAGTGTTTTCAAATCAATGCAAACATTTTACAGTTTTGAAAAAATCCTAGCATGAGTGGGTACAGCAAAAATAGATGTTATTTTGCCTGTAATGAAAGTAATTGGCGAGCCTGCCTTGTGTGATGATATTTCAATGGGACACAAAAAGAAATGTATATATAGTTTGTTTCTTTAAAAACAATAGTAATTAAGCATCAAATGCACCACATTTTAATTCGATAAAGTTAAATTTGCATAGAGTGAGATTTGCAGATTGGATTCATATTCGTTTTTGTGCTGTCTCGTTTTATGTGACCAAATGGAATCATTTTCACAAGTCAGATAGCTGAAAGAAAACACATGAGGTCACCCTTGTGTAAACAGCCGTATAGTTTCTAAGTCTTTTATTTGTATTGTGTAATTTACAAGTCCCTGTTATTTAAATGGGGCAATTATACCTATAAGCACAAATCAATACTGAAAGTTCAGTCTTATCTGTTATGTACATATTTTTTTAAGACTATATTTGATCAAGTGATTTATACTAGATGACAAATTGAACCCTTCACATTGCATGTTTTGCAAGATTTCTCTCTTTGGATTTCAGTCTCTGGACTGTCCCACCTTTAATGTTAGTAGAAGAACATTATTTTTTTTCTGTCATATATAAATGTAAAAAAGTCTAATGTAAATGACTTGTTTTTGTTTAAATGCGTTTTATTGTATTAATTATATTTATATTATTCAGAATTATCTTGACCATCAAGTTAGTGGAGCTGGCATGGCAATAAATACAATTTACAATTTGATACCTATAATGTTATATAACACCAGAAGGTCAAATGTGTTAAAGGATAGATCTTCTAAAAATGTATATTTATATTACTTTCACCTGTTGAGTTATCAGTTTGTGTCCTAATGGATAAAAGAAGGTCATTTGTGGATGCCAAGCAGATATTAGAGGCACTAAATACCATAAGTAATGGTGTGCATGATATTATTGGTAAATGTTGTGTCCTGGATCTCATCAACATCATGTTTATTGACTAAAAATATTCATTTATTGACCCTATAAATGACCTGTGAAATAACAGATATTTTGGCCATATAAAACCATGTGAACATTTTATCTGCTGGTTGTTTTCGATTTAAAACGCTTGCGTTTTTGTTCTGGTGTTAAATATGGTAAAATTTGGTCTAATAGTAGTACAACCATTAAGAGGTTTTAGATGTTGCTCCACTCTCATGTGTTTTGTAGTGAATGGGAATTTGCTTTAATGGTGAAAGCAGTTTTGAACTACTTTTATTATATTATGAATTACTTCTTAAGTATTATGCTTTTATGAGGTCAAAAAGTCTCACATGGGGCCTTAGATTATGCACACAGATAGAGTTAAGCTTTTGGGGCAAAACGATTTAAAACTCATTTAAAAAATATGGTATATAATGGGATATAAATATGTAATATCACTGATAGATTCAATGAGACTAATAATAAGCAAGGCACATAGTGTAAATAAAAAGTACTAATAAACCCACGGGCTGTGTCATGCATTTTGGGAACAGGACAGAAAAGAAAATATGTTATAAAGGGTGTCTGCGGGGTCTTAGAAAATAATAAAAGTTGATAAATCAATTAATTAAAACTCTTAAAAGGTATTAAAAGTCATAATCGAGTTTTACGAGGTCTTAAATTTTGTTCAAGCATTGTCCAAAGTGTTTGACTCCAAAGAAGCATAAATAAATTTATTTTCCTCCTAATATTAACAATGACATGCTCCATCCACATGATCGGTTTGGACTGTGGTACATCCGGCCAAGCTCCTCTGTCCGGATGGTCACATAATTTGGGACAAACGTGGGAAGGTGATGTGATGTTTTCCACATGTAGCAAAACCATAGAGATAAACGTACAGCAAAATGGAAAAATGTAAGTTTGCGTACTCTTGGTTAGAGAAAGACGAGTTTAAACAGAAGCTGAAGCCTGTCGCTGAAAACAACCACATAATTTATTCTTTTAAGCTTTTGTTTTTAACAGAGAGTTAGAAAACTATTCAGAGGTTAACCTCACCCCCCCCCACCCAAAAAAAAAAAAAAAACGTGTGCGAGTGTGTAAGAGCACCTGTTAAATCAATATTGTAAAATACTGTGTTTTTATAGGAGTATCTAAAGCTCTATCCTATTGAGAATATGACGCTAGCTCCAGATCCAGATGTGCCTAAGAAACTTCCTGATGTGGCCTACAACCCCTGGACCGACATCCGCAAGAGGGAAGACGTGCAGGCGTTAAATCTGAGCTTCCCTTATGGCCCAATTCCTAAAGATTTTCAGGTACTGTGGTGTGAAAATTTATACAATGCTTAAGCGCACAATTAATAGATATGAGTTTGAGTAAAATGTAATAATAGTACCATATGTGACAATGGTTTTTCTTCCATAATTTAAACAAAAATGTTGTCAATTAGAGCATTTTTGCTAAACATTTTCTTTACATGAAAAACAACAAAAATGTCATCTCTACGCATGTTTTTTTGCTGAATTTATTTTAAGTTCTTGTTACAGTGTCTCTCTTAATTTAACTACCAAACAATAGTTAAATACATATACTAGCTATATGGTTAGGATTAGGGTTAGTTACATCTAGTTATGCATAATTAATTGTAATTAAAATTGTAAGTACATGCATTACAAGGACACCTTTTTAGTTGCACTTTTTTAATGTACAGTTCATGCAACTAACAAATCATATAAGACTTTTAGCTCAATAATATACTCAATTGCTTCTTATTAATAGTTAGTAAGGTAGTATTTAGGGTTAGGTAAGAGATAATTTTTTATAAGTGCTAATAATAAACAGTTAATATCTTAGGCAAGTAATTGGTAGTAGTTAAAAATATGATTTCTTATTAAACTAAAATGCTATCGTTTTTTTTGGAAAGATTAATTTTTTCAATCATATTTATTTTCATCTTGCTTTGTATCCTGCACTTGCACAACATACTAATTATAATTTTAGACATCTGTCGCAGTGCTTTATTTATTTTATTTTTTTTCAATCATGACAAATGAAAACTTTTTGTTATTTCAATAAATTGTCCTTTAAAAAAATTTATTAGAATTTTTGGGAAAAAAGTAGTATTGGACAATTAGAGAGTGAAACATACTTTATCATTTTTCTCAAAGCCATACCTAATGAATCCTTGAAAGATCTATAGAATTTTCAGAGAAAGGTAATTTTCATAGCTGTAGTTTGTTAATGAAGTCATTTTGTGTAAAATCAAACATGATGTATTTTTTTTCTCCCTTCATCATCTAGTTGAGGATCCGCCAGCACTACTTTGCCTCTGTGTCATATGTAGATGCTCAAGTCGGAAAGATTCTACAAACCCTTGATGATGTCGGCTTGGCCAAGAACACTATAGTGGTGCTCAGCTCAGATCACGGTTTGTTAAATATCACAGCCATTAGGTGGCACTGTTGAAGCACTGAAGGTTTATATTAAAGCTCAGATTCTCGCAGTCTTTTCTGGGTGTCCATGCTATTTTGAATTTACATTCTGTGAAGTTCTTTTCGGAAATGATGCTGTCACTGTTCCATTTAGCATAAATTGCAGTTTGTATTGTTTGAGTAGTTTGGCATATGGCACATTTTTTTTTCTAGTCATTATTTAAACATTTATGCTACGCAATAAGTGTCTTTTATATAGGATTGGGCAGAACTCATAATATATTGATATTATTAAAGGAGGCAGTAATATTAATTCACTCAACACTCAGAATGCTGTATTAAAACAAAAAGGAAGAAAAATATATTCAATTGGTTTCATTATAATGTTACAAGGGTTTCATTTTAAATGTTTAATGGTCATTGTTACTAAAAGTAAATACTAAAACTATCTATAACCACTGTCAGGCTTCACACACCAAACATTTCAAATTAAAATGTGATATTTTAAAGATTACCAGACACATTTTTTTTTTTATATACTTCGAGCACTTGGATGGATTTTGTTAAAAAATATATCCCCAAGAAGAATTTTGATTTGTCAAAGGTTGAACTTAAAAATCTTATCTAATATTTTTAATGTAAATGTTTGGAGTTTTGATTGATTGCTTTTTATTTTTTTGTATCCTCTCTTATTGAATTCTGAATCTGTAATATGTTTGCTTTATGTACATTGATCTTGGCATGAAATAGTTGCTAATGTGTTGCAATAGTTGCTGATGTGGCTAGCAAAAAGTCCCAGCTAGGGGTATAAAAATTTTTCGGTCTGTCTGTCTATCATTTTTTAATGTTTAATTTCATCATATTGTATAGTATGCTTTTTCAAACATCAGTTGTTCACACTTGTAATATTTCTTAAAATCTTACTCCATTTGAATTCTGCTAACTTAAATTCGTATTAGAATATTTAACGTTATTCACATTAAGGAACATTCCACTTTTTTTTTGCAAAATAGAGTCATTATACGCCCCAAGAGTTGTGTTTTTATCATTTTTGAATCAATTTAGCTGATCTCTGGGTCTGGCAGGAGCTTAGAATAGCTTAACATAAATCATTGAATCAGATTAGACCATTAGCACCTCATTAAAAAAAGCTTCTTTATGTACATGATATAACTATAGAAGAGTAGATCTTTTATATAGGAAAGTTATTAAAACTAAGGTCGTTTTTTGAGTGAGATGTTAATGCTAATCCAATTTAATGATCTATGCTAAGCTAAGTTGAAAGTGCTCCTGTTAGACCCAAAGATCCTAAACGGATTCAAAAACTCTAGTTGGCTTCAATGAGAGAAGCAGCAGTGATTGTGAGTGGTTTTCTGTCTCTCTCAGGTTGGTCATTAGGAGAGCATGGTGAATGGGCCAAATACAGCAACTTTGATGTGGCCACCCGAGTACCATTGATGGTGTATAAGGCAGGAGTGAGCTCCCGTCGCTCTCGGACCGGGGCGAAGACGTTTCCCTTCATCGATGTGTTTCAGGACACACGGGAGCACTTTGGCAAAGGTAATGTTACTCAAAGCAGCTGTCGACATGCAAACACCAGAGGAACCTTCACGAAAATGGAGACTCCAACTGATTCGAAGTCTCTCAAGTGTGAGAGATCAACTTTCTGGAAAATATGTTATGGCTAAAGCATCGGCCCATTTAAAGCTTTGATTATTATTTTGCTTTTGTATTTTACTTTTAAAAATTTTTTTATTTAGGCCTTGACTTTTTTTCTTATATCTCAAAGCTCTAAAAGTGTGGTTTTTGCCACGATATTCAACCTTTTCAATATAAAAAATAAATAAATAAAAAGATCGTCAACAATATTATAGCTCTGTATTTTTAAACTTTATTTAATTTTAATATTATTTTAAACAATTGCTATGAATTTCATTTTAGTTTTAGCTAGTTTCATTAATGTTTTTGTTAGTAGTAGTTTAGTTTTTAGTTTTAGTAATTATATAGATTAAGGGCATCACAGTGTCACAGAGGGTAGAACGATTCCCTCACAACAAGAAGGTTGCTGGTTCGAGCCCCAGCTGGTTCAATTGGCATTTCTATTTGGAGTTTGCATGTTCTCCCAGTGTTTGCTTGAGTTTCCTCCAGGTGCTCTGGTTTCCCCCACAGTCCAAAGACATGCGCTATAGGTGAATTGGGTAAGCTAAATTGGCCGTAGTGTATGTGTGTGAATGCAAGAATGTATGGGTGTTTCCCAGTGCTGGGTTGTGGCTGGAAGGGCATCCGCTGCATAATAACATATGCTGGATAAGTTGGCGGTTCATTCCACTGTGGCGACCCCTGATTAATAAAGGGATTAAGTAAAAAAGAAAATGAATGAATGAATATTTACGAAGATATAAAATATTGTTAAACATGCTTTCAGATTTTTTTTGGCAGATCAAAAAACGATCAAGTACAAATCATCTACAGCGATGAATATATTAATTCAGTTTACGAAAAGGTTTTGGACTATAGTTTTAGACTGATTTCATTTACAATGATAGTAATCTAAGTCTTCCTCCATATTTAGAAGATATAAGTGTAAAGGCTTGTGCACTAAGATGGTGTTAGATGTTTAACACCTTGTAACTACAGCATAAAATACTCCTTTCCATTTTCATTCATGATTTGTACCTTTTTTTTGTTGCAAAATTGTGACCATTTATGTACTGTAGTTGAGAATGTTGTAGTGAAGTGGAAAGACTTACATTACATTACATACAACATTACAGTACAACAAGCGAGTGTAAGAAAGAAGCATAAAATAGACCATCACCACCTTGTGTACTGATTATTTCTGTTTTTCATTGAGTGCCATTTAGATTTTGCACATTCACTTGACTCGTAGCCAATGAAAATCACTTGGCCATGAATGAAAATATCGGTAATAAGCGCAATCGGTAAAACATCCCAGAGTGCACAAAGCTTAAATTCATAAATTTGCTGGTAATGGCCATAAGTAGAAGTCATGTCAAAAACAGTAGAATTGCATTTCTGACTACGCCACTTCTAAGCCATTGCAATTGTGATCAAGTATATAAAAATAGGGCTGTGCTATTAATCTAAAAGAAACTAAAATTGCTATACGGCAAAAGTTTCGATTTGCATGCACATGTTATCTGGGAAGCACAGTTGTGTATCTTCAAACAGTAAATCTCATCCGAAGGTTAGAGGATGCTCTGCAGAAACTCAGAAACCCACAAAGAAGTAATAAGTAGCGACTAATAATCAGAAGGATTTATTTTAAAAGCTCTCCGCAAATTAAGTTTGGAGTAAAATCGTTATATGTGGATTTTCACATACTGTAGAATATTTACTACACAGAATTGTAGTTCCCAGAGAAGCTACGCAAACAGCTGCATTTTTACTCAAGATTATCTCGATTAAATCAATTTCGGGTTTGAACACAATCTGGCATACACTAAAAAATGTCAGCTTCCACACACTTCCTTCATGTTGTCTCAATACACATTAAGTTAATTTAATTGTTTTATGTTTAATCCACTTAAATTTGTAAAAACAATCAAGTTGTCCCCAAAAAACTCAAGAATTATTGGGTTAAAAATACTGGGTTCTAAACAATTGATTTGTGTTAGGAAAAATTGAAGAAATTAAATTAACTTATTAGGTTTTTACAAAATTTAGGTTGATTGAACATAAAACAATTGGTTGTCCCGCCAAAAAACAAAAAAAATTGTGTCGTTTCAGCTAATTTTAAATAAGTAGTTTGAACAAACAGCAAACATCATTTTTTTTAAGTGTAGCTTGTCAGTGAACTTCGAGTTTTCTCAGTCTAAAAGCATGTGCTGGAGGTTTACTAGAACTAGCTTTACAGACAAAATGAGCATGAAACTCTTCGATTAACCTATTATTTAACCAACATGATATCAAAGGAGGCTTGGTGGGAGTTTGCATGTTAAGGAGGTCTAATAAGTAAAATGAATGCACCCAAATGTGGGATACACAGGTTAACTGAGAGCGTACTGTGCGCCTGCTGATCATTCTTGCTTGAAGCTCTCAAGTGTACATTTGTAGCGATCTTTAGAAAACAGCCAGCATAAGCAGCTGGAGTAATGGCTGTAATGATAATGCCGCAGCATAGAGAAGCTAATAAGTCCTGAGAGTTATTGCTCTCACAGTGGGCTCTGTATTGTTGCTTGTTGTTCTAATGAGCTGTGCTATATTCAGAACTGTATCAGTAAATTTCGTGGAAATTTCAAAGATCCTCCTTTCACCTAGGAGAAAAGTGGCTAATTTGGTGTGAGTGTTTCATGCTAGTTCATTTGTGTATTGTAGTATATAGAGTTGAATTCAGAATTTTTATCCCTCCTGAATTATTAGCTCCCTTCTGTTTCTGTTTAATGGAAAGTTTTTTCAACACATTTCTAAGCATAATACTTTTTATAACTACTCTCTTTTTTTGTTTGCCATGATGACAGTACATAATATTTTGCTGGATATTTTTCAGGACACTTCTATACAGCTAAAGTGGCATTTAAAAGCTTAACCAGGTTAATTAGGTTAACTAGGCATGTTATGGTAATTGGGCAAGTTATTGTATAACATGGTTTGTTCTGTAGACAATCGGAACAAATATAGCTTAAGAGGGCTAATAATATTGACCTTAAAATAGTTTAAAACAAAATAAAAAACTGTTTTTATTTTAGCCGAAATAAAACAAATAAGACTTTTGCTAGAAGAAAAAATATTTTAGGAAATACTGTGAAAAATATTAACATATTATATAATATGTTAAAGATAATTTGGGAAATATATATATATGACGAATCACTCGCTGAGAGTCTAAAAATGAGGTACTACTTTCTTCCGCCATTCATTCACATCTGCAGCTGACGTAAGAACAGCAGAAACTGTCGCTAATTTCACCAATGTCTCTTTAGAGTTAGCATTCTCTTGCATAATTTGTATAGTAGTGACAAAACGGGTGATTTTCTCACATTTTAAGATTATAAGACTGAACGACATTAAATGCTTTCAGTCTACAGAGATTTCCTAGTATTTATCTGTTGAAATCGGGATATCACAATAATTAACCCTGAAAAAGCCAAAGCAAAGCAAACACTACCAGATTACTATGTTGTAAATACAACACTCAGGCCCCTATCATACACCTGGAGCAATGTGGCGCAAGGCGCAACGCAATTGTTATTTGCTAGTTTCAGCTCGGCGCAAGAGTCGTTTTGACATTTTGCGCCAACCTGTTTAAATAGCAAATGCATTTGCACTCATATGAGTGCCCATAGGCGTTCTGGTCTAAAAAAGCAGGCGCGTTGCTGTTTTGAGAAACTGTAATAGTCTGGTCTTTAGACCAGAACAAACAAAGCTGGTTTAAAGTCTTAGAGTGTGCCTCACTTACACACTGCTTAATACACACAAGATGTAGAGCAATACACAAATATCTTTACATATGAAAAAGAAATATTAAGGATGTGTGTGTATATGGGGATATATATATATATATATATATATAGGGGATATATATATATATAGGATATAAATATAAAGGATTAAAATCTTACAAAACATATTATTTTCTAGCCTACATAAATTTAAAAAAACCACTGCCTTGAATCCTCCTTCATCTCGGGGGGCTTTTTCAGTTCATTCAATTTTTAAATAACAGTTATTCATTATATCCATATTTATATTTGTTTTATTAAAAACAAGCTTAGATTTGTCCACCTGTCAGGTTTTAGACTATATGGGGCACAGCATGTGTATTAGGATATAACTTAGTATTTTGAGCACACTTTGTTATTATTGTTCATTTATTCGTTTGCTGGAAATTAGAACTAAATTTAGAAATAGTTTTGAAACAAATCTTTGCGCTTAACAAACGAAATTAATTATTTATAGGCTTATTGATGTCTGTGCGTACAAGGTTTCCCTATTCACGAGAGCAAAAATGAAAATGAATTATTAGATGCCTTATCTCTCATTCTCGTGCTGTAGATGCACTGTTTTAACTGTTTTCTTGCTTGTGAAATGCTCAGTTTTTACGTCATGCAAATAGCAAATGCACTTATGGCGTGATGCAACTGGCTCTTAAAGGGAATGGGAGATGAGACTCTGATTGGTTTATTCTTAAAACACACCTATAACTCATTAAGAAAATAAACTCAACCCTTTTAGACCATGCGCCACGGCGCAAAGCAGATTTTCCTGTCCTTAAAATAGCAAAAGTGGATTCTGACACGCCCTGAATGCGTTTGCGCCCTGCGCTTTCCGCATGGATCGTCAAAATAGAGCAACAGGCTGATGGATGCCGACGCACCGTTTCTCCAAAATAATAAATATATAAAATAGGCACTATCCTTATAAATAAACTGCATAGTTGCATTCTAAACAACTACATTCTCACCTCAAAAGTACTTTACGTTGTCCAACAGCAGCAATATTTGTCAGACTGTAGTGAGTTTATTGATCTGCTGTCACTCTTTGGGCGTAGTAATACAGAATAGTGAGAAGGCTGTACGAGTGCTGTTATTGCCGAATATCGCACGGCTATCAGCCAATCAGATTCGAGAACCAGACAGAACTGTTGTATAAATGAGCAATATAGTATACAGTAGTATAGTACAGGTTCAAAGTTTTTAATGTGTCTTCTATTAAAATATCAACAAAATTTTAACTTAATTTGTATTTTATATAAATATAATTTTGATTGACCAATCAAAAATCAGATGGCATAAAAATAGAAATTACAGCAAAGCTATACTTTTTTTAAGCACAAATGTTTCTCGAGCACAAGTCGTTATGTATTCAAAAATTTTTTTTCTCTGCTTGTTTAAACTACTTATTTAAAATGAGCTGAATAAACACAATTTTTCAGTTTTTTTTGTGACAACTTAATTGTTTTGTTCAATTGTTTTATGTGTCAGGACAACATTAAGGAATTGTGTGAAACTCATTTTTTCAACAATGTATTATAAAGATTTCGAAGAATATTGTAACAGTATTTTACAAATGATTATTTTTCTGAAGACTTCTGTAAGGGTTTGTTTGCATTTGATTTTTGATTGTAGGTCATTGATTTCAAGCATATATATACAACATATATATACAGTTGACATCAGAATTATTAGCCCCCCTCTATATTTTCCCCCCAATTTCTGTTTAACGGAGAGCAGATTTTAACACATTTCTAACCATAATAGTTTTAATAACTCATTTCTAATAATTGATGTAATAACATGATGACAGTAAATAATATTTGACTAGACGCTTATAGATATTTTTCAAGACACTTCTATACAGCTTGAAGTGAAATTTAAAGGCTTAACTAAATTAATTAGGGTAACTAGGAAGGTTAGGGCATTTAGGCAAGTTATTTCATAATGATGGTTTGTTCTGTAGATTATTGAAAAAAATAATTCTGACTTCAACTGTATATATTATATTGTATTATAATTTCAGTTTGAATTATGTCAGGCATAGTGCTTTGTTGACTCCCCTGTAAAAGGCAATTAGTACAAAGTCTTGTACATTCGTCTTTTTTATTTTACTTCAAATCAAAGGCAGGGATTCATCTTGAGGCTGGTTGATTTAGTTCATGGCTTTAAAGTCTTTATTGAAGGGTGTTTTTAAGTAAAATGAATGAGGAGAAATTCTTGGAAGTAAGGCTGCTGTGTGGGTGGCCACTGCTACGCTCTATAGAATAACAAGTTAAAAAAAAAGATTTGCCGGCCAAACTAAAGTCCTGTTTACACCAATCGTGATGCAGTTAAACACAAATGTTTGAAATGTTTTTAAAAAAGCCATCAAACATATTCACACCGAAGATTATGCCAAAGATTTGATACAGTTTGACATTTTATACAAACATTGTTCAAGTTCTTTGTGATTACATTTCTTTACTGAAGTGAATTTTATTGACATATTAGTAGTTCAATAGAAACAATATATCTGTGTTATAAGAAATAATTAATTTGTGAAATAACACAGCTTATTAAAGCTTATCTGACAGCTTATTACAGTTTTTATGCTACTTGATCAACCCAGTACATTGCTTCCAACTGCTAAATCTGTCAATAAAATGTACTTTTTTTTTATTAGAACTTATTAGAAATCAAGATCTTTAGGATACAGTTTAAAACTACTCTGTAAAAAATAAATCCGTAAAATTTACGGTAAAAATCTGGCAGCTGTGGTTGCCAGTATTTCACTGTTAAAAGTACGGTACAACCCGTATAAGTAATTTCTCATTTTTACAGCATACTTCAGTATTTCAATAACTTACAGATGTTGGTAATACAGACATATAACATCTACACATTTTTGTTACACAGATGTTAACACAGCCATATGCAGGTGGTGATGAGAAAGATATTTTTCACATAATGAACCAATGCTCATCGCAAACTACTTTTTCCACAAGCAGGAAAGAGTATCAGTGTAAAAAAGGTGCTCAGTGTCATTCACACAGCCACTAAACACTAGTATGGTAACATGCATAAAATTAAAGTCATGAAATAAACAGTGTTTATCAACATTAGATGTAACGTAAATCTCTAATATATATAACTGATGGGCAACAACTAAAAAGATCCATATTAATGTCAATAAAAAGCATAAAAATTGATGTGTCATGCAGAGATTTCTGGGAAAGTCAGTTTACGGTTATTCACTGTATAGTTTACGGATTTTTACTGTAGCATTTTTACAGTTTTTTTACTGTTGAAATCACGGCCATTTTTTACAGTGAATAAACAAACAGAAAACACCCACGAACCAGAAACTATTAGTAACTAATATTTAACAGATGGTTTTTTTTTCCACTGTGTTTGAGTGACTGTTTTTGTTTTATTTTTTTACTTATCTTTAGACTGTAGTATAGAATAAAATACCAAAAAAATTCTTTGGCCTTCAGACAACAGAATGAGTGACTTTTATTGACATTTTTGTAGTTTGAACCAATATATCAAGTTATATAAGAAATGATTTAATAAATATGTAAAAAAAGAAAGTAATAAAATAAATAGTACTAACAGGTCATCAAAGTTTTTTTGTTGTAATTTACAGTGCTCCACATAAATACTGTAAGTACACCCCTCACAAATCTATCTTTTAAATTAATATTTTTAATAGGAAGCTATAGAAGATTACATTTGTGCACATACATTAGATTAGTCAGTACTGAATCCACATTTGGAGCTTATCTAATAAAATAACTTGTGATAACGGTTTAAAAACTAGTACACCCAAATTTATTTGTTATAAAAATAATAAATACAAATTTAAAAAAAGGAAAAATCTAGAGAAGGAAAAAATTGAAAAATTGTTGAAATTTTGTAGGTTGTAATTTTTTGCAATATTTTGCTTGAATTTAATTTGATTAAAAATGTTTAGAGACTAAAATATTATTTTAATAAATATATCTGTTCAATAAATCTGTTTTGTTTAAATGAACCAAAATACATATTCACTGAGAAATGGATATAAATATTTATTTTCAAAACTGAATTTTGTTGAGCACTGCATGATCACTTCAGACAATATATTGTTGTTTTAAACTGCTAAAATGACAATAAAATGTACTTTGTTGAACTTCAAAATGAAAAGTAGTCATAGTGGAAATAAAGGTCCCATAATGCAATTCAAAAGCATAAACAAGCAGACAGCGCCAATCAATAACAAACTACCAGTAACTGATATTTAACAAAATATTTTTTCCACAGTGTTTGAGTGACTTTCATAAAACTTTTTGCAGATGTTGCGAATACGATTTATTTTTGTAGTCAAGCTCAAACTCAATAATCAGCAAACCATTTGTTCTGGGTTGGGGAAATAAAAAAAACACTTATACAGTTGAAGTCAGAATTTTTAGCCCTCCCTTTTATTATTTTTTTTCCCCCAAATGATGTTTAACAGAGCAAGGACGTTTTCACAGTATGTCTGATAATATTTTTTCTTCTGGAGAAACTCTTATTTGTTTTGTTTTGGCTAGAATAAAAGCAGTTTTTAATTTTGTAAAAAAAAAACATTTTAAGGTCTAAATTTTTTTGATACGCTACAGAACAGACCATCATTATACGATAACTTGCCTAATTAGCCCATTCTGCCTAGTTAACTTAATTAACCAAGTTAAGCCTTTAAATGTCACTTTAAGCTGTATAGAAGTGTCTTGAAAAAGATCTAGTCAAATATTATTTACTGTCATCATGGCAAAGATCAAATAAATCAGTTATTAGAAATGAGTTATTAAAACTATTATGTTTAGAAATGTGTTGAAAAAAATCTCCCCTTCATTAAACAGAAATTGGGGGAAAAAATAAACAGGGCTTCTGATTTTAACTGTAAATTTCTTATTATATTCTTATTTTAATTAATCGCAACATTTCAAATTGCGATTGCGATTCGATTTTGATTATTCGCACAGCTCTTCTGTGAACTTTAGAATTTATTAGAACACTTAAACTATAAATAATACATAATTAGGCTTTAAAGGGATAGTTCACCTAAAATTGAAACTTCTGTCATCATTTACTCATCCACTGACTTTCTTCAGTTGAATGCAAAGGAAGATTTTCTGAAAGATGTTGTGGATAAATTTTATTTCCATAATATTTTTTTCTGTAATAAATGGATGATAATAAATGGATGATAAATAAATTAGTATTTTAATTGAACTGGATTTAAAAAATGACCTTTGTTTTTCTATTCAAGCTACTTGTTTAAAATGATTCAAAACAAGACAATTCTTACCTTTTTAGTTTAATTGTTTTCTGTTCAATTCACTTAATTTGGCAAAAATAATTAAGTTAACTTGATTGATTTGTGTTAGGACAACATGAAAATGAATTGTTCATAACCCAGCATTATTTACAGTGCGTTCCTGTAATGCAATGGTGTATTTTCACTGCAAACACTTTTATAGTTAAATTTCTTTAACTTTCTACACCTAAAAGAATTAGGTTTCTTCAACTTTATTTATGACGGATTGTTTTTTTAAATGTTATTTATTACTGAAAACTATTTAAATTCCTACATGTATCTGTTTTTTTTTAATTCCAGGTAAGATTGTAAACAGTGTGGTGGAGTTGCTGGATGTTTTCCCCACCCTGGCGAATCTGGCCGGTCTCCCTTCTGTTCACCACTGCCCCTCTCCGTCCTTCAAGATGGATTTGTGCACCGAGGGCTCAAACCTGGCTAATCTGATCCGAAACCCCAAACATCTCAACAGAGAAGCATACTCATTCAGCCAGTATCCACGACCCTCAGACTCCATTCAGGAGAACTCCGACCTCCCAAACCTTGCCGATATCAGAATTATGGGTTACTCTATTCGCTCTAATGATTACCGTTATACTTTATGGGTGGGTTTTGACCCTCTGCACTGCAAGCCCAACATGACGGAGATCCATGCAGGTGAACTGTACATCCTGACTGAAGACCCGGGACAAGATAATAACCTGTTTGATGAATTTGGACACGCAGCACTTTTGAATAAGTTTGGAACGATGCCTTCGTGGACGGAGAGTCTGAAGCAGCATATGATGTATTTCAGCAGTGGATGGAAATCAAAGGGGCTTTCGTGATTCTGGGTTGCAGTAATGAAGAGAAAATGAATGAATGTTACAATCTTCGGTTGGACAATAACAAAAGGAGATTTAAAGCATATTGTTAGGTTACTGCTATATTTATATTTTTGTAGTAATAAATTATTAAAAGTATGTGTTATCATGGTTAAATTTATGACTTTAATGTATTAATTTAAATAAAATTGTATTGATTGAAATAAAAAAAATTTGATTTAAATGAAAATATAGTGCAGTGCCGTGTGCTAACATTGATTTTATTTAAACATTTTTTTTTTTTTTTTTAGAATAAATAAAATTTAGATTGAATAAGTTCTTAAGTATATTTGTACATTTAATGTAATGAATTTATTCATATAGTGCATTTATCATGTATGGTCATACACCTAAAGCACTTCGCAATCATGGGTGGGGCTCTCTCCACAATACCACCAGTGTGCAGCATCCACTTGGGTGATGCAACAGCAGCCACAGGACAACAATGCAAGTGGGGGCAACAGCTACTGGGGGAGTGGAGGCTGTGGTGACCCCAAATTAATAATGGGACTAAGCCGAAAAGAAAATGAATGAATTTATTTTTAAAGTTAGGCTAAAATATGCTTAAATGTCATGAAAACAATACTACAACACAAAACCAGCAATGGTGATGAATCTGCTTACAGACAAGAGGTTAAGGAGCTGTCTGGTGCAGTCACAACAACCTGCAGCTCAACGAACTCAAAACAGTGGACTTCAGGAGAAACCCCCCTGCTCTCCCCCCACTGAGCATCATGGACAGCACTGTGGCAGCAGTGGAGTCATTCAGGTTCCAGGGCACCGCCATCTCTTAGTGAGACACTCACATTGACTCCATTGCCAAAAAAAAAAAAAAAAAGCTCAACAGAGTGTAGTACCTTCATCAGTTCCAAAGTAGCTGCTGAAACAGTTCTTCACTTCCATCATTGAGTGTACACTTTAATTACTGTCTGGTTTAGCTCAGCTACCAAATCTGACCTCCAAAGACTACGTCAGATAGTTTGGACTGCTGAGCGAATCATTGGTACAACTCTCCCTATTCTCCAAGAACTGTACTTATCCAGAGCGAGCAGAAAGGCTGCCAAAATCATTCTGGACCCTCACAACCAGCCCATTGCCTCTTTGAAATGTTACATTCTGGTCGAGCAAAGCAGTGCAGAGCACTGTGCATCAGAACAGGCCGACATAAAAACTGTGTCTTCTTTCTGGCAATCCATCTCATAAACACTTTATGACAGTAATTGCGAAACAAACATTGCTACTTTTTGTACACATATACACATTTATTTAACAACAAACTTTACATGCCAATTTGCAGACATATAACATGTATTTGCATTCATAATTTACTTCAATTTTTAAAATATATTTACTATCTGTTTTTTTTTTGTCCTGCGTCTGTAATTCTGCTCTACTGTGGAAGCTCTGACACGAAAACAAATTCTTCGTATGTGTGAACATACCTGGCAATAAAGCTCTTTCTGAATCTCAGAGACGAGAAGTAACGAAGTACAAATACTTTATTGCTGTACGTAAGTGGATTTTTCTGGTATCAGAACTTTATTTTTTCATTTTACTTCTGACACAAATATCTGTAATTTCTACTCCCTACATTTTTAAATCAGGCTCGTTACTTTCATTTTCATGTGTTTGGTGGCGCAATCTATATCATGTCTTGTCATTGCACAATTTGAGCGCCATTTTCATGCAGTTAGTCTATTTTTCGTCACTGCGCCTGCATGCTGTAGTGCGCGCCTTTTTCAACCAAGACTCTCACGCACAGTATGTAGACTAGTTTATGAAGATTACTATGAGACAGACAAGGATAACTGCAGATGAGACAGAGGGAGACATATAATGCAAAAGATCCTGAATTTATCATGTGAATAAAGATCATGCACACGTTTTGTAGGTTGTAATCACGCCTGTGTGTGTGTAGCTTTTAGCATAGAATAAATGTATTAACAGATTTAATGTTTATATTGAATAAAATATACATAATACCGTTAAAAAAAACACTAAAATAACAGGTTATGTATGAAAGCTGCTAACGTAGCATATGTGTATATATATATACATATTTTTTTTTTTTCAATATTATCAATAAAAAATATTCAAATATAAAAAATCAATATATTTTGAACCGAATTCAGTGTAAAATGTAAGACATTATTTATAAAGACATACAGGCCTACATACTTATTTTTAGAGTGTATGAACATGAATAGCAGCTGTTGTTTTTGATCCAACAGCCACAAAACTACATGCTAAACGCTGTGAGTTTGCATCAGGATGATGATACATGGGGGGAAACCTGATCTTTACCTACTAAGTGAAACTAAAACATGAATGGATACTTTTTCCTTAAGTGCATTTTTAAAGGCCTTACTTTTTCTTCGGTACAAAAGTGTAATCAATACTTCAACTTTTATCAGAGTCGTTTCAAACATGAGTATCTGTATTTCTTCTTAAGTAAAGGATTTGAGTACTTTTGCCATCTCTGTTGTGCTGATTCTGATTCTGAAACATGTTTTTCACTCACAGTTAAGATTTACGATTCCTCTAAATTCTCATTCTCAATTGATTACTACAAAAGAGAGTGGCTTCAAACTGATTTGTTTTGCCTGATCTATTTAATAAATAATAATACACCTCAAAACCTTGTAATGGAATAAACGGCACTTTTCTTGAGAGAATAAAACTGGATATTCTCACACAGCAGTCTTGTTAAGCATATTTAAGGTAATATCATGATAAATATGAGTCTATTGACTTAATTTCCTCGTTCCCTTCAGAACGTGATACATGGAAATGATGTAACGTCAACCTAAGTGAGAAATGGCTTTAATTTGGAGTCTTGGAGAAATAGAAAGCTCTGCTCAGAGTCAGACAACACTCCGCTTTAGCAATTTATCAGGTCACTAAGTCGTAATTGTATTTTGTCTCGGAGGCCGACAGAGACTCTGCCTGCGCAAAGCTCTTGTTTTCCCAGGCAGCGCAATGAAAATCAACTTAAATATAGAATTTCAAGTCATGCTCTCCCACTGCACCGCTGCCAAGGTAATTAGATGCTTAAATGTGAAAACTTGCAAATGATGTTGCCTGGATGCACCTCAGAGAATAGATGAACGTTGATGAATGTTTAAGCGTTTAAACATTAAAACAGCAATAAGGTTTGCCTCTATGTCGCCGTCTCTGTTTAAAAGCCGCAATTGCAGTTTATTGTAGAACGATCATCTTTACGCTTGTTGTGCTCATCATAGTGTTTTTAATCTTATGTTTCGAGTCTGTATGGCTGTACAAACTGAGAGATGTATGCTCAAGAGAGCTCAAGTTAAGAAAGGTAAGCAAGAAAAAAAAAAACACGCAAATGGAAAAACCCTAACAAATTAACATATGCCAATTCTCACAAAACATGTAAATACAGAAACGTGCTGCAAATAGTGCAGACCACAATGGAAATGTGTCAGAGAATGCAAAAATCAAGAAACCCAGCTGGTTCCTGTTTAGAGTCAGTGTTAAAAAGTCCCTTTAATGGATTTTTGAGATTGTGCTTCCATGCATTGTGTAACACCTCTAAGTGAATGAAAACATCCCGCTGAGGTTTAAATCTGAAAACGCACCTTGTTTAAAACGATTGATTCTTTAATGAAGTAGTTGACTCAGAGTCGAATGAATGAATTGTGTTGGTTTTGTATATTTAGCTTGAAAGCATCAACGTCCATACGGTACATCACCAAATACGTAGTACCAGTTTAGGTAAACCGTGAACATGCCTTTCCCTTCAGACACTAGCGGAGCGCAGGGGATCACAGGACTGATCATGACACGAAGATGATGATCCCTGACAGATGGAGATTTGGCTGTGGTGAATAAAGGGTTAAAGTTCATTTTCACAACAATACCACAGTATAGCTAATACAAAGATACAATAACCTACGCTGTAATGAGGGATTCGTTGGCAGTTTGCTATTAAAGGAGTAGCAGAGGCTACCATGGGGCTTTGTCAGTAACTGTTACAGTTCACATGGACCAGTTTCTTCTTCCTCCAGATCATAGCATGTAAGTCTATTTAAAATGGTTGCCTCGTTTTTAGTAGTTTGTAAAATATGTTTTTTTTTTTTTTTTTTTGTGTGTGTGTTGTAACTTCTAATCAAACTGTGCGGCTTGTAATCACTTATCTATTATAGGTCATTGCTTGTACTGCATCTCTCAGGTTAAATCTTTATGAGGTTATTCACATATTGTGCCCAAAATCACGTTAAAAACGTGCCGCGTGCTTCTTCCTTTACGGATTTAAATGCTTTTATGAACTTGCGATCCTCCTCTGTTAACTTTGCTAAGGCCACCATCAGCTATTTCTACACATGTGGTATGATTATTAATTTTCAAAATAGTTCAGCTTTTGCCACTGTTTAACTGCATTGCTTAATTGCATTCCTGCATTAGGCTCTTCATAAGAGTGCTGGGCGTTTTTCTCTGTCTTGTGATGAACCCAGTCGACCAATCACAACAGACTCAGAATCCCCAGACCCATTACAGCAGATTAGGCTCATGCAAAGGTGGGGTTTGGAAACAAATGCATCGCTGAACAAATCATATGAGAGTCGTTGGGATAATTAGGTAAAAATAAATGCATATTATAAGACTATGAAAGTGTTTTTTGACCTTGCATATCAGCCTGTTGTTGAAGACCCCAAAACCAAAAATTACCTTTTATGTAATGCAAAACAAGGGCTCTTTAATTGTCCAATCTGCCAGATTATTAGGGCTAAATATACACAAACAAGAAACTGTTCAGTAACCCCTTCGAAAATGAACAATGGTTTTGCTATAGTAAAACTATAGTACAGATAATTGTAGTAATCATATTTTTGTGGTGTGTACTGTAGTTTTAAAAACCATGCATTTGCTATAGTAATATTGTAGTAATACTATGATAACACGTTAGGAACCATGACTATATTAACCATGATTTTTGGTGCACACTGTGTTTTTAAAAAAAAACATGTTTTGTTTGCCTTGTACTGTGGATTTAAAAATCATGGTTTTACCATATTAATACTTGGTTTTCGAAAGTATTACATCGCTTTGTAATTGTTTATTATTATCATTTCATGAGTCTCCCCATACAGTTTCATACAGCGCTTGGACCCTGAAGCCGCTTCGCAGGGTGTCACAGTTAACAAGCGGA